GGAGGCACATATTGAGGGACATACCTCTAAGTGTGACTGTGATGGCGTGTGCGTCGACATGCCGGTGGGGTACGGGTAGCCGGGGGTGGTGTCCTCAGGTCCAATAGGTAGTGAGTATGGTGAGGTCGGTGATGCGGTGACCTCAGGGTGAGTTTGTGAGTGAGCAGGTCTGCCTCTGACCCATTTGTTCCCGCGCTCATCGCTCCGCCCAATAACCAACCCCGACCGTCTGGGCCTCTGCGCTGATTGGCTAATTACCGCGCGAGCCATGACATCATACAGTCCGGTCGCAGCTAATGGGTAGGTCAAAATAGGCGGAGCAAAGAGGGAAATAAAGGCATATTAATATTACTGGATTGATGTTAGAGATTTGGTGTTAGGTGTTCAGTTGAAGCTGGTGCTGTGCTATGTGGTGGCTGGCTTCATGTAAAATAACCTGTTTGTGGTGAAGCTTATTGCACCCTAACCTAACCCACCACCCCCCCCAAAAAAAAAGGTTTGATTCAGTCAGGTAAATAATCAGTCTGTTTTGTAAATGTTTTCGTGGTGAAGAATAAAGTTATTGGAGTTGTTTCATCATTTGTGTTTAATCTCAGCCGTGGAAATATAACGTGATTATGTATTTTGGCGTTTGTGAGGAAGTATTGGTAAAAAATTGATAATACTGTATGTAGAAATTTATTGATTATATACATTTCAGATTAATCATGTTGCATTTTTTTTTAATTTTGTTATTTGAGAATCCATGATAATAATCTGGAATATTTAATTTTTTTTGTCAAGTCGTGTGTTTGGGTTTAAGCCAATAACTTATACCACTTACAACTGCTTCAAATAATTGTACATAAAAGCCTGAACCAGATAATTTGAATGTGTAACCAATCATGATAGGTGTTGGATACGCCCCTATTAACACGGTGTTATTGATTGTGTGTCCCCTGGTGCTTGAGAGGGACCCTTACCTCAGCACCTCACCGCGCCGCCATTATCACCATATAAGACTGGAGAAAAAAGTCTCTGTGTCTTGTAGGGAGATTCACGTTGTTATATTTGTAGTGAACATTAACACATGTTTCTGGGGATATACTAAGGCAGGTAACACCAAATGAATATTTCTCTTTACACCTACAGTGAGTGAAGCTGATCTGCCTGTCCTAAACCTTTCCCAGAATTTATTTACGCCCCAGAACAGTAGCGAGTGGAATTGTCTGCCACCGAGGGTTTTCCTACATCATATAATGTAAACAGTTCAAAATATCCTACTTCAGATTTAACTTTACCTTCAATTTAAAATAAATCATCCAAACGTAAATTATGAGCTATACGGTATATGTAAAGTTTGTGTTGTTTAGGTTCCAAGAGAGGTGATGAACACGAACTCTATAATGAACGTTCAATAACTGAGGAAGTCTTAATTACGAGAATCACTTTTCAACATTTGATATTAAGTGTTGGTATGGTGAAATATATACAACATATAGGGTGACGTTATCTTAGATAGTGGTTGTGTACTGTATGTGTGTGTCAGTGAGTTGACGTTTGTGAAGCTCTATGAGAAATTATTGTGGCTGTTTGTTGTTACATACAGGTAGTCGAGAAATCCTTATGTAAAGAAGACAAGGGAGGACACCGTATATAAGACGCGCAGAATATCACATTCCACACAGTGCATAGTTTACCCTTAGTGGTGATACTTTATTAACCCCCTGTGTACGGGAGTCTCTTGTGATGAATAAAATCTTCTGGTGTTAAAGCGACGTCCCCATAATGAAGTGCTTAATGGTTGTGGGGACGACCTTCATACTCCCGCTCCACCTTCGACTTTTACCACACGTTGACAGTTTTCAGCTGCATAAACGCACTGAGTGACTCACAACATGTCTCGGTGAGAAGCTGCTACAACATGCCAGAAAGTTAATATATCTTTTATGCAGTAAACTGAACTAAATTCAACAAACTTTAGTACATTTCACAGCAGCAGCCGCAACAAACCTGACATTGACACCGTCCTTCTTTCATTGGGAAAACACTTTTTAGCGTTAACCTTCAATTCACTCAACAAATGAACGCTACTAAGAAAACACTAACTTACAACCTGTAACTGTTACTAAAGAAGGAAGTAAACACTGGCTAACATGGTACCCACGCTTGGTGGCTGCTAACTCATAGTAACAAAGATACAGTACTTAATTCTTAGCTTTTGTCCGTGCGTCGATAATCTCCCCCGTCCCCCTCCTTCCGTCCTAGATCCACACTGAGACAGCTTTTATCATGAACGGCGAAGAGGCATTATGGTTAACAGAAGACTGAAAATGGTGAAATATATGGACTGAGTTAATAGTGTTGTCATGGCAGCTCCAGCCCCTCTGGCCATTAAATTCCACCGACAAAGTCATATCCACTTAGGGTATTTTTATTATTGCTCTAAACTTATAGATATTCTTAGACTCACAAAAACGTTTTCTTATAGATAAAAAAAAAGGTTGTCAAAAAAGACGAATACCTTAAAGTGTTTGTTTAATGACCACCCAAACTAGAGTTGGCCATGGCCAGTGTAGGATCCCTCCATTGTTCTTGACGGTCTTCCCAAAGGCTATTTTGAAACCCATTACTGTATTGTTCTTGATTCCATAAACTGAATGACCGGTAAATAATAAACATAACATTGTCGTAAACTACGCAAATAAAACTCCAGATGATCAATGAACTATTTACATAAAATATATTGTACTGAAGAGCAGGGAGTCAAAAGTGGGCAGTGGAAGGTCCATAGTTAATGTATTGTGTGAGAGTTTTGAGTTCGTCTGTAGGAGATATGTTAAACTTGTCCATGAATAGCTCCAGCTGTCTTCTTCCTGGCTTTGCTCTGAGGCAGCTTGTGCACTGAATGGCTGAAATTTCTAATGGTGCTGTGTAACAACACACTTGGGGAACATGCCATCCGGGCAACTGTTGAAAGTACATAGTGATGAACCAAGAGTACAGGAATATTAAATGGAAAATAAAGTAGATACAAAAGGTGAGAAGGTTAGAAATTGGGTAAAAAGTTAACACAAATACTTAAAGACAAACTGTTTTGGATGGAACAGCAATTAAAAATGAAAGGGAGATATATTAGTAGGATAAACTTATTAGTGAGTAAAATACAAGTGTACAGCACAGTATACATACAAGTAAATTGATCAAATGAAAGTGTTTGTATGTTGTACCTGGCAGTGAGTATGTTAGGAAAGAGAAAGAGGAGGCCCAGGGAGTACATGGCAATAGTTGATACAGCATCACTGTTTGGGTGTAAGAGAATAAGACATGAGGAATATATGGATGTACAGTATAGTTTAGGCTGACGAAAATAAGAAAATTGAAGTGAGAGGAGTAGCAGAATCAAGTGGGCTGCTTCTGTCCAGTACAGTACAGTAGTGGTAAAATTTGATGTTTGGAAAAATATTCAAGGGATCTCTTTTACGTCATGTTGGTAACACTTTTATTCGCATGTGTGTTACTGCAATCATCTCATTTGATCCCTTGTATTCTTTGCACACACTTCAAGTAATAATTGTCCTTTTTCTGCTAGTCACCTGCATTTTTTCCTTGATCTATCTGTCTCTCTGTTTTACAGATGTCTTTATGTATTTTGCAATAATTTCCTTAATCATGAGTTGTAGTGTGACTGTGACTGGATTTTACATTACATAATCAGATTAACTGTATATGGGTTTGGTTGACTCCACATCAGTGTCAAATACTGTAGGAGCTTACATGGTGATCACATCCCCTTGACAGTCTCCTATAGTATTCAATAAATAGAATAAGGTCATAGATGGGTGTTAAATAGCCTCATTCTTCACTTTGATTCATCATCAAATTTCATTTCTGGAATAAAAACTTGCCCACACTGGAAATTGGGCAGCCTACAGTACACAGGTAAATACAGTACATACAGATGGGTATTCATGACCTTTTAATGGCCAACAAAGAAGCTGTAAGTCACACTAAACGACCATGTTACACATCATATACTGTATGTCATGGACTCAAAATTATTTTCCACATTTGATTTAAATTTTACAAAATAAATGTTATCCTTAATGTCAAACCTTGAATCACTGTTTTAAATGAAATTTGTGATCATTTTGCACACTTCTTGTGTTCAAGTGACTTGTTGAATAACACCAGAAGATAAAATAGGAAATAAACAGAAGGGTTGACACACCCTGAGCCTTAACCCCCTCTAGTCCTGTGCTTTGTTTATACTGTACATACTGTGTCTTTCAAGATGCAACCTTTTTTACTTGATATATAATTTAGTTATGCATATTTTAGTTGAAATGATTTAAACCAATATACAGTATTTTAACCTAAAACACCAAAACTGCATCATTGATTACAGGCAGTCCCTGGGTTATGAACAAGTTCCTTTCCTGGGGAGGTTAAGTAAAAAATGTAAGTAAGTCGGAACACCAGCTATGTGCATACTGTACTTACTGAACAATGTTTAAAACTCTACTATATAATAGCTTAAGTCCTTATATACATCTATAATCACTTAATTTAAGAGAGAAGAAGAAATAAAATGACAAAATACAGTAAACAAAAGTAAAAAATAAGTCATCAGGTTAATACTGTAAATTTAAAGTTTAACCTCGTTCATATCAGTGTATGTTCGTAGATGAACTTCAAATGATTTAAGAACAATTAGCATACTGCAGGGGTCCTCAGGTTAAATCTTGCCCGTAACATAATTTCACCCTCCGTTTATTAGTCTGGTAGGCACATCAACCATAGCTTGTGATGAGATAAACTGAATACACTAACATTCATAACTTTTATTACATACATGATTAACCTCACGTGTACCAGGTAATGGTCAGACACTTCTGTAATACTGTACATTCTTATTTCATTCTTCTGTTAACTTCCACATTGTCAAATAATTCTATCTTTTCCATTAAGTATTTTTATAAATTATTTTATTTGTTGTTTTGAATAAGATAAAAACCAACTTCATATTCATATTTTATTCAAACTAACTTAACAATATCATTGGTTTATCTTGCAGTCACTTACCAACTTTACTACAGTACAGTATATTATTTTGATGAGAGTTTCACATTTTAATATTTATAACTCAGTCACACTAACGGATTCTAATGAACAGGTTGCCATACATGTGTAGCACAACATTAAGAAAAAAATAACAGTTGGTGGGTCAGATATTTTTTCAAAGAATGCATGAGTTAAAAAAGTAGAAATATACAACTTGAGGATTTGGTAAGACCTTGGCATCGACCATTCAGAAGACATCATCGTAAACCACCAGATCTCTCTTGTCCTTGTGGGAGCCTTTCTGTGAGTGACTGGCAGCTGCAAGAATCATTAATGGAATAAATATATCTTGTAAATACATCAAGTGACAATTAACACTGTTTATATAAGTTTAAATAATGCTTATAAATAAATCATGTGACAAATAATACTGTTTATATAAGTTTAAATAATGGTTGAAAAATGATTATGGATAAAGTAGTCACATCATGTATGAATATACAGTATACTTAACAGGAAGTACTGTATTATAAAGTGATGTGAATGGTCAAGATTACTGGTCAGAATATTGTATTATTATAATTGTGGGAGTTTTTAATCAAAGTTCTAGTAAGTTTGAGAATCGATGACAGTAACCCTAAAAACAATACAATATTCTTTAAAAGGTTATGTCTGTTGCATAATTGTGAGTTCTGTAAGATAAAAAAGTTTAAATAACTACAGTATATACTGTACTCCTCACCAAAGGCATCATTAAGTGGTTTGCCAACTATATCACAAACAATACAACAAAATATACAGTACAGTCTTCAGGCAAGACTAAGGAAAAGGTGTATGGTAGTGTCCAGGTATACTATGGTTAGAGATCAAGGGACCTGTTGCTCAAATAATGTACAGTATATTAAAGGGCACAATGACTAAGTGATGAAATGATGCAATTATCATTAAAAATTAAGTTAATTCTGTTTAATGATTTTCCAATCATATGATACATGAGAGTTTCTTCTGAGAACAATTTGAACCATCCCAATTATCATTTGAGCCAGTCCATTGGCCTAGAGGCCAGGCAGTACATACTGTACATCAGAGTAGAATTTGTATAAAAACAATAATGTGACTCCTGAAACTTGCTCAGGATTGTAAAGGAAATGAGTTAATCACTTACCAATTGTTGACCATGTTGCTGATGACGATGCATCATTAATGGGATCTATAACTGGCTGGCGACGAGCAAGAGATACCTTGAGCTGAATACCTGACACCATACTGCCATTCATCTGTTTTTGAGAAAGGGGTAACATTAGTTAAGCCTCTTGCTAAAACTTTGTCTGGTGGACAGGAATTTATTCAATATAGCTGTAACTAACTACTGTACTGTATAAATGTGTAATATTTGCATACGTATGCTTTGACAACAGAAGGGTGGGGTCAGTTTGCCTCAGTAACCCAGGGCAGTACTATTAAAAGAGAACTGTACTGTACTGTACTGTACTGTACTGTACTGTACTGCACTCTGGTTTAATAATGGATCACCACTTGCTGGTTAGTAGTATAATGCACAAATTTACAGCTAATGGCTCTGTAGTTCTTTGAGACTACAGTTAGAATAACCAAAAATTCAGTGAAATTACCAAAAATTTTGAAATTATCTAAACTACTATATAATCCTTTTATGTTCACACCTCACTAATCAATGGCCTTCATCCCTGAAACTTAAAATAAAATAAATATATCATCCAGTTAATCACAAGTAGAGCTTTAGTAAAAGGAGTGGCCACTGTATAATTACATTCAGCAAATATGACTTTATTCCTCTAACACAGTTGTGAAAAGCTGCTCAAAGGGTATGGGGACCTCAGAGTATAGTGCAAGACATGTGGTGGAAATGACTAAGACAAGAAATAGAACAACATTTGCTCGTGTCCTCAGCTCATAATTATATGCACTACACAATGAAAATATTCAGCCTTTACATTGCTTCACAATCCCTCAGTAAAGTTTTATCAGTTCACTTCACCTCCAAAGCCTTTCCATACCGAGCCATCCTTCAAGCATCGTGAAACGTCGTATACTGTAGCGTTCCACCCGACTAACTAGTCCGTGTCTTTCTCTGTCTTACTCCTGTTCTCATGCATTCTCCCGTACTGTTATAAATCTTTCTTACCAATTTATCACTAGTCATGTGCTTCAAACAGTGTTCCTATAGCCCTTTAATATGCTCTCATCTTAGAAAACATTTGCAAGACAGCCCACGGGTCCTTGTTACTCTACAGGTGAAGCGACACATACTCGTACAGACACTGAAAGAGTAGTCCTGTACAGTGTTCTCCTTATCTTGTGCACTGTTCCACCTCTAATAGATGAAAAGATGGAAAATAGATATCACTGTGATATTTTAACTACAGTAGAATCCCAGTTATCCGGCACCTACGGGGATTGAGAGGTGCCGGATAAATAGTTTTTTCCAGTTGGTTGAAACTCACTCTTAGGATCCCCCAATAAATCCTACAATGCTCAGTGCTACAGGCTAACCTCGCAAATTTGTGTCTCAGAAAAAGAAACTTTTTTAACACTTATTCCATTATATAAACGATGTGGCTTAGAAATAAAGATATAACAATAAGATAAATGAAGAACATGGTGTGTGGAGGTAGTGGGCTATTACTGCATGGTTCCCCTCCTTCCCAGTGTGGCATCTTGGCATACTGTACACACAGCCAGCGTGGCATTTTGGTGCCGGTTAGTTGAATCTACCGGTTGCTCAGATACTGTACTGGATAACTGGGATTCTTCTGTATCTAGTAAAATACCTGTACTGTACAATGGGATAAGGCTTTTAGGTACATAAGGTACAGAAGCTCTATCACAGTACAGTACAGTATACTGTATAATTCTTACTCATGAATACAAATTCCTAAATAAGCTTCAAAGCCAAACAAACACCTAAGAAACTTACGTCCGCAATAGCCTTTTCTGCAGATTCAACTTTATCAAATGTAACAAATCCGCAACTGCAATAAAAAAAAAAATTATTCACAAAACTATACTTTATTGAGATGAAGAAAAATACATACACTGTACAATAATAAAATATAAGAATAATTTCTCCTTTATAAAATTGATATCACTGACTAGTTCCTGGTCATGTACACTCACTAAAAAAATATTCTGCACCCTTGGCACTGATACCATTTGCACCAATCACTGAGACAGAAGCCTTGATGAGTGTTATCAGATTTCTTGGTCCGGTGTGCCATATTGTACAGTATAACCCCATAAAGATGCACAATAATCTTTTAGCGAGTGTACACACATATTAAAGTTGGGTTCATAATCCCATCAAAAATAATAACACACAGAGGAAAAATAATGGCATATTTCATATCACCACATCACAAGCAAGTCATGTCACTGAAAGATTGACCCACTCTTATAATTATCTAACTTGTGATATACTTAAGAACCTCCTAAAGGTAGACATATGATACAAGTCTCTCATACAAGCACAATCACACACACTCTGACAAATTAATATAAGTGACTGACCATAGGAATCATAACAAATTAATGAAGATGGCACAGTTGTCAACACTAGAGGGAAGAGTCAGTTTAACACCTAAAGTTTGTCATCCACCTGGTCATCCAAGAATCATAGAAGAACTAAAGCACATCACATCTGAATACAGTAACATTACCAAAGACAAGCTAATGAGTGTTAAGACATTGTGTTCTCTAAGAGTCAATATGTTTCTGGAAGTAGAAGGTGAAACATTTTAAAATTTACTGTACTGTAATAATGTATTTTATCTATGATGTGCAACTTATGAGCCACCCTGTACATACAATATTACTAAAAACATACTTTTTCTCAATCTCCATGTTAACATTAACAATATTTCCAAAAGTTGAGAAGGCTTTCTTCAGGACTTCTTCTGATATATTATGACCAAAGACGTATATAGTGTGTCCCTGCCGAGGCTTGCCATCTGCCCCTCTTCCATCTCGGGTAAATTCTCCACGTTCCTCTCGGTCTCGGGCTGTCACAAAGCTGTCGTATAGGTTCTGCTGTAATGTGAACAAATATTTATACAGTACAGTATAAGAATCTACAGTGTACAGCAAATATTTATAAAAGTGGAAATAAAAACAGACTTGGATTAAAGGAACATTTTTGGATTTGGTAAATAATGACTGAAGGAAATGTGTTTGAACACATAGAGGAATGAGTGAAAGCTTTGTAATTCTTGTTGCGATGAGAAAGACACACGTAAATGCATCTTTATAAGCAGTACATATTGTAGGACGTCTCAGCTGGTAATATTGAGTACAGTCCTGAGGTTAATAAAGGACAGAAAAGTATAAAGGCAAGAATTTTAATGAATATGAATGGGTGAAACAAGGCAACAGCTGTACAACACTGCTGACAGAGTTTGGTAGATTATAAAACATGAGAGTACAGCACAACCTTTCTTAACTGAGGGCAACTTAGTAGATCTGGACATGTGGTATGGGACAGAATTGTTGCCTTTGAATAATTTGTTAAGTTTCTTATTCTACTTAATTATGTTTGATATTCCTATCGTATAGAAAATAAACTTGGAGGCTGGAGCCAGTCTGATGATATTGTACTGAACTACTTGCATGTACATGAAAGAAGTATAAGTTAATAGCAGAAGATGGAAATAATAATACAATTACAAAAAAATCTGGGGCCAGTACAGGTATAACATTTGGCTTCAGAGATAATAGTTTACAGCAAAAGGGTAAATTTATATACAGTCTCTCCTCGACTTACGACGGGGTTCCGTCCCGACGACATGGTCGCAAGTCGAAAAGGCGAAAATAATACATAGAAATTCTAAAATGGGAGTCTCTTTTTCTTCTCAGCACCATGAGAACTCTCACTTTTAAGCTTGCCCGCCATTTTAAAGGGAATTACAAACAAAAATTTTGTCAGTACAAAGCGCCATCACTAATGTCGGTACTAGAAAATACGTAATTTGAAAAATAATTTATACGACCACGGCTGTCGTATGTCCGGGTTGTCGTAAGTCAAGTATGTCATAAGTCGAGGAGTACCTGTATATACTGTATATAAATCATGTTTTTTTTGGGGGGGGGGGAGAACTTGAAATGACAATAGGTAATAGGACTGGGATATAAGGAGGCAGATATACCCTTCAGAAAATTATTAAGGATAAGACTGTGAATTTAGATGTATGGAAGAGTCAGTTGAGAGTCACACAGTTTACTACATGTCACAGGTGTAGTACAGTGTATATGAAAATTGGAACTTTTACGTCTCCCTCAAAAACTTGTGGTTCAAATTTATACTCAGCTTACCTTGACCTTCACTCTAGATTCATGGATCTCTTCTTCTGGATGTATAGTGGAGAATGGCTGATACCCAGATGGAGCTTTATCTGTCCCGGATAATTTTCGTTCAAGTCCCTGTAAAGATTAAAAAGAAACTTACTACATACTGCTCTGTCCACCACTTGAACTGTCCACCTCTCCATCTGTCTCTAACAATACTAAAAAAAATCTTCACCAACTTGTTATTGTCATTTGTGTCTACTATCTTCACATACTTTCATCAATGCAGATTGCTAATTCTTTTAACCACCCAAATTTTTATTAATTCACAATATTATACACAGCAGAATAGTCAAAACAAAAGCATTAAATATCCTTATCTTTGGCTTCATACTGAATCCCGTACTTGCCCACAAGGATTTTGTCAGTAGCTCTCACGCCCTCACAGCATCCTTCTTCCCCCTTTCAATATCTTCATTCTGTTTCCCATCTGATGTTACTATATTCCCCAAACAGACCAATTTTCACTATAACAATGTTTGTCCTATCATACTTATTTCTGTTAATTACTCTGTACCATTATAATTTCAAAGTTTTGTATCATTATTGTCCTCATCAATATCCCAACTACATATCACCAACCACACACATGCTAGTACAGTAATCTCACTCATCGGCAAAATCAAGATCTGCAGAGAGTCATCAATTCCCATTCCCTCCTCCTTTTTCTTCCCTTCTCCATTATTTGCCTCATTACGTGGTCGCTGTAAATCTTAAAGGGTCTAGTATGATTATGCATTCATCTCAGCAATCCCTCCACTTCAAACCAGTCAGTGTATTCTCCATATAGTACTTTCAGTGGCACACCATAGTTTTGGCACTTTACTTTTCTCCATAGTAAGTACAGTACTATGCTTTTCCACAAAAATTAAAACACAAGACATTGGTCATACAAACTCCCATTTGTTGCCTCATTGTAAATTTGTTACATCATTGGCTTTCTTGATCTAAATCCCTCAATTTTCGTCTATGATGGCTTTATCCTGTCAGATAAAATTATCATGAATACCTATCTGGTACTGTACTAACAAACTGATTCCCTGAATATATCTGCACTCTCCAGTTTCCTTTATTTTTATATGGGAAGATAAGTCAGCAGGAATTAATGGTAGTACAAAAAAATAATACAAATAAAAAATGTGAAATACCTAGGAGATGAGATTACAGATTAGAGTATTTAAATGACTATATGGTGAGAAAAGCCCATTATATCGAGGGTCTGTTACATATGAAACCTCCCATTTAACGGATTATATGGAGAGTGAAGTCCGTTATATGGAGGTTTCACTGTAATATGATATACTGTACAGTACTGTATAACCAATAATCCATCAGTAAGTGAACAAGGAAATGGGAGAAAAGAGTTTACAAAGAAGAACATCTTTATTTAAGACTAAACCTATTACTTAACTGTTTTGTGTCATGGTACAAGGAAACTTGCCTCACTCCATTGTATCCCATTTGTCATTCTATTTTTTTTTCATTTATCAGCTTACTAGCCATTCGAGTAGTTTGTCTATCCAGTGTTAGTACAGGAGGAAACTGGAGAGTATCAAACTTATTGGTGGAAACACACGCGTTACCGCTGTACAGTATCATATTAAAATAATGGCAAACTGTATAGATTTTTATATCATAAGAGAGACACTTTTGTTACCATTGATCGTTTAAAGGTCGTCTTCTCAGCTGCTCCTTGAGGTCTTTCAGGTACTTTGATAGCCCCAGATTTGATGAGCTTCTTTGCCATTTCTTTAGCATCTTTTGCTTCCATGGGTCGTTTTAGTGGCACAAGTGGTTCGGGTTCTTGCTTTGGTGCTTTCAAGGCATGCAATGCTTTTTTCTGGAAATATAAAATTAAAACGATGAATAAAAGAAATAAGAATTGCTGACATAACAATCTGATGTCCACTCAGAAGGGTTTGTATTCTGCCTTAATACAAACATACAGTATTTCTAAAGCCCCATCAAAAATTATAAAAGATAAAATGGCGACCCTCTCCTTAACCATTACTAATATTATGACATAGTTTTCACATCACATATCATTTATCATTTTAGCAAGTCCCAAAGTGAACAATTTTATGTTTTTTATTTAGGGTACATGGCTACACAACTCAAAAAGTAAATATATTTTAATTTTAGAAGAATAAAATACAAGATAACCGTCCAATCAGAAACACACAAGGAGGACACGATGAACTTATCGGTGTTGCCTATAAATAATAGTAAAAGTTATTTACACATTGTGTTCCTTGTGCAATTTTTTTTATTCCCTCAAGAAATTTCCTCTAGTTAGTGTTAGGGGCGTGCATGCCACCTGGCGCATAATATATGACGACATTTACCTTCAATCAAAATATTTCCTCCTGTTGCTGGTTTATGTACACAAACATCATCCAGTATTATCTTCACTGCTGTACACAACTACCGTGAAGCTCAAAATAGGGCAAATCTTCGTTTAATGGCTGTGGCTCTATTCTCATAACAATTTCAACTATTAAACACTGTTGAAACCTAACGTAATGTAACCTAACCTAACGTTAATTCTAATTTGCCAAAGGAAAGAAATATATTCGTATTTTTTTTATTAATCCGAGAAAATACAAATAAGAAAATCTTACCGCAGCCATTAAACGAATATTAGCCCAAAATAGTTGGTTTAAGTGCAACTCTCTTGGCCTGTATTCTGCCAGAACAGCTAGTTTAGTGGAGTTTATTACAAACATATACTACAGTACTGGTAAAATTATAGTTTGTCATCCGTGTATTTACATAACCTGACCTAACATAGCCACAGAACTATATGCACCCGAAGATTCCCAGGATGACCGAAACTAAAATAATACCTAAATTGTCTTGAACATCTCTGGAACCTATAGCACAATACCACCCAACCAGTCATGTTACGTTGTCATGATAGATGGATGGATATTCAGTAAAATCTTCAGTTAACAATTAGCTTGGCACGTATATAGGGGTCCGACTAATTACCCAAATGTACCCAAATATAGCCGGAATGAAGTCAAATAATGGTCCTAGATGAATAAATCGGACTGCAAATCACTTCTCGACTAGTATTTGGTGTCAGAAAGTCACAAAAAATTGGTAAACTTAATTTAATCTGAGTTAATAGATCGAGTGCATGTACCTAACCTAACCTAATCTAATCTAACCTAACACAACACAACTCGGATTAAATTAAGTTTACCAATTTTTTTTTTACTTTATGACACCAAATAATAATCGAGAAGTGATTCACAGCCCGAATTACGGTTGTACGACCATCATTTGACTTCATTGCGGCTACATTTGGGTAATTAGTCGGACCGCGTATATAGACATTGTAGGTATTGTAGACATGTCAGGTATAGTAGACCAGGTATAGTTACTCTTCTTTATTACCTTCCTTCGTAGTTTTTGATACTTAGCTTGAAGCATTTGTTCTTCTTCGGTTAGATTACTTGGAAAATGTAAATACACCATTATCTCCGCTTTATAAGTCACTTGACTGAAGTTTGCCACAAGTTGTCTCTCCTCTGTTACCTTCTTGTGCTCATTTGTTGTGATAAACAATAAATCCGGATCTGAAAAGGTTTACATTTTTATTTTTTTTAACTTTAGTAGTTTTATATATAATTTTGGTATCCTGCAACGTTTAAAATATATCCCATTATGCGGGATTACGATTTACGAATAAAGTCCACATTTGGGGAATTGTGATCCCGTCACCTTTGTCTCAGCTGTATTAACTTAGTCCTTAAGTAAAGGCAATATATTATACGATTAAAACAATCACACTACGTATCTATACATATGTATCCGTCTACTCATCTATCTAAACATATGTATCTGTCGACCTATATATCCATTACTAATCGGTAGTAACAAGCCGTAATTACCACATTATTTAGTCCAGGAAGTAACGCTGACTGTGAAAGAGTATTCAGCAAAATTAATCTTTTCAAAACCAAACAAAGAAATAGGCTAAACACTAACACTGTAAATGGAGCTCTCCTCTCATAGGGTGCCTCAGAAGTTGAGGGTCAGGTGCCAAATTTTCGCCCTCTTAAGATATGCTTGCGCGTATAACTAATAATGTACAATTGTTTCACAACTTGACAGAGGAGGATCTTGAAGTAGAGGGCTAATGATAATCACTGAAAATATATATTTTTAGTGAGGTCTTACTGAGTTATTAATCTGCATGAGTAAACACATTTAAGAATGATGTGAGTTTTATGTAAGTTGCTGCTTACTCTTATTCATATTGATTCTCTAGAAGGGTATATATTTGTTTTCCTTCTAATATTTTTTGTAATAAAGGATATGATGTTACTGCAAAATAAAATTGGTAAATATATATCTGATTAGACGTCAATACAAAGGTACCGGTCTGATGAAGAAAATTTTAATGGATAAGTTTTCAATAAATAACCCCAGGTACACGTAATAATGATGTTAGGTAGAGCAATAATTAAAAAATATATATATTTAATAAAAACGCACGAGAATTCTACTGGAAAAACGACAATTTTGAAGATCCAGTACGGAAACTCTCATCTGCCTGGAAGTTAACAAAGATTGCGCCTGGTGGTTGATTTTGAAAATTTTCACTGGACTCTATGCTCCCCTAAAATGTCTGAACCATACATGTAACTGGTAATTACATTTTCATTAAATGGTGAAGTTTGCGGCTGGCGACAGGTGATAAATAAGGCTTTCTTATTTCAAGATTGCCCTCTTATAGGACGAGGATATACCATTTTCATTATTTTGTATTTTCATAGTTCGTGTTATAATAACCCAAAAGGCTAATCTTACGGCCAAACCTTGTAACATTGTCTCGATGGCCAAGGATTGAATTATTAAAAAACTGAACTTCGAGCGTGAGCACAATTCTTGGCCATGGTGAGAGAGAGAACGTGACGAGGTTTGTCTGTACAATTTAGCCTCCGTGTGTTTCCTGTATGTCAGCCTCGTCCATCTCGTCTACCAAAATTGAGGTGATTATTATCGTTTTTGGGCATGCAGCGAATTTTAGAATTTTAAGTAGGTTAGGCGAGTGAGTCAATAATCAAAATTAGTTTTAAAGCTCTGCAATTTCACTATTACAGTGGAGACTGGTGTAGTTTGGGGAAATGTAAAAATAGCTTATTTCTAAATCAAACCTAACCTAACCTTAGTTGATAAAAAAAAAAGCGACCGAAGCTTTGTTAGAAGACCGCACCAAAGAAACTTGTTTAACCTTGTTCATAGTGGACATGTATTAGTTGTTTATTCACACAACCTACTTAACCTTACCCAACTTCCTTGCCGTTGGTCTCCACACCCTGGACGTGTCCGGCTCGTAAACATTAACAGAGCTGAGGACAAAATTGAGTCAGTCGGGGTCAGTGATGAATATACAGTAAGAAAAGATCCATCAAAATAAATTAGATTGTGATGGGTATCTCGATAATAGTAACCCTAAAATGATGTCTCTACGTGCTTTGTACACCAAGAAATTTGTTATTTACCGTCAATACAGGGTACTTGTATTTAGAATATTTAAGATGTCAGTTACGCAGTGCCTGTAAGATTTAAATCACCTCTACTGTATATAAATTTTCTTAAAGATATAGACTGTCTTTACTATATAAACACGTTAATTTTCACGTTCCCAAAACTATTGTTTAACGTAAATAATAATCCTGACCTAAGACCTTGCATTTCGGCACTCAAGGTCCTACCATGGGTTGTGAGCGCTACACAAAGGTACAGTAATGCTTTACTTGCTGAGTAAGGATTTGGGCTCATAATTTAAATTTGCATAATTAATTTTAATTAAAGGTATTTAGAGTATTTAAAAAGTAAATTATTCTGTGCCTGTAAGTCTTAAATCACCTTTACATATATTTTCTTAAAAATACAGTAATGATCGTCTATATTCGTAAGATAATGTATGTAAAGGGGATTTAAAACTTAAAGGCTCAGTGTAATTAACTTTTTAAATATTCTAAATATACTTAATTATTTCAAAGGTCATTAATAACATTAGATATTATAACTTTTAAATCATGAACCCAGATCCTTAACCAGTATACATGCTTCACTCTTTCTTCTGTACAGGTGAAGGACTACAGTATACAGTACATGCTTTAGTGACTTTCCCACTGTTTTACGCCTTTCCTCTCCTTACTCGGCCACCTCCCACCCAATACAGTATATCAATTGTGATGGAATTTTATCTGTTTAAACTTTTCCCTCTTATTGTAGTTAATTGTTTATGTTTATAAATATATAGTAATATGTGTTAATATGGTATAGATAACTAATAGGAAGTATTATCTTGCAGATATCCCAGTACAGCATACACCTGATGTTCTTACGTTGAAGGAAGGTTTGGAAGTCACACACCAAGTGATCACCAGCCGAAGGGTAAGTGTATTGAGAGAGATTTATTGACCAAATTATTTTTATTTTATGACTTGGTACCTTCTGTTCCAGGGGTCGGCTATATAGGGACACTTGCTGAATCTATATTCAAAGAACACATCAGTGGATTGTGGGATTTTATAAAAATTCTGGTCTTGTGGTTATTGATCTTCGTTAAAATTAGTTCAGGAAACTGTCATCAATGATCAAATGCTGGTACAGAACAGTACAGTACAGTAAAGTACTGCAGAAATCACAGATAGGAAAATAAGGAGCATTCACTACTGATTCCATCGTCATCTCTAGATATCATGGGTCAAATTATTTGGTCTCCTAAATTATTTCTCATAACTAAAGTTGAATGATGGAGATGACACCAGACACATACAGCGCAGGTAGTGATAATATCTTCCAATGTTTCCTTGAAAATATGTCAAAGAGACTCACTGTACTGTGGTAAATACTCGATATTTATAAGCAACTATTGCACTGGTTAAATAGGATTTTACCACCAAAATTTTGTTATACAGTATTACATGTTTAAGCAAGAAACAGTGAACCTATGAATTACTGTTAGTGATGTAATTTGTTGACTCGGAACAATTACCAGTATTAAAATGGCGAGATGAAGCCCATTGGTCCATCACAAGGGAGCATTAACTGGGTAATGAATTGGCCTTGAAGTAAACTCTGTGATTTGCAGAGGTAAAAAACTGTTTTATGGATTAGAAAGAATTGCCTTAAAATTTTGAACTACGGCATATAGTTTAGTAGGTTGACTATAACATCCTCTGAAGGATTCCACTGTTGAACACTAAACACAAGGGGCCTCAGTATACCGTAACAAGAGTACAGTATATGACGCACCTGGCAGAAATATGAGTCCCCTCTTTGCTCTAGCCGACTTTTTTTCCTCTTGATTTACTCCCTTGCAGCTATGCCACTTCTCTTCATTTTATAAGGGATGTCTGTGGGTGATAACTGCCCCAGCTAACATAATTTAACATGGAGTGTATGGTTCCTGGTGTTTGCTTTTCTTGCTCTTCTTGTCTCACAGTATACAGGTTTATCACTAAGTTGATTGTCTGTTGAGATGACTGATCAAAACTCTCTGAATCACTTGTTTTAACCATTACTTCATCACCAAATACAGTACTGTAGTGGTGAAAGTTAATAATATCCAGTACTACAACCTTTCTAAAAACTCCAAAACAAATTTTGTGTCTGGAGGCCATTGTTGGAACTATCAATTTTGATTTCAATGAAAATAGTGATTTAGTGGCTATTGCTCTATCATAGAATTGCAGGTTGTAAGATGAGCTGCTGTACCCCAGTTGCTTTCTGTGACTGATCTCTTTAATGTTAGCAAGTGTCTTGTTTGGTCTTGTGGTCATTCACTTTGGTTTTAAAGTCAAAGAATTTAATGTTGCATCATAGTAGGTCGGTCATTGCCCGCAACACACTATACTGAAGACTTTTTTCTGACTAGTTTAACATTTGATATGAGCACCTGTTCCTGTAGGAGTTGGTTTCACTGAACATAGTTACAATTACTGTATACTGTCAACATGTAGTGATGACAAAATGATTGGCATGGTCGTCTGCAGAGGTTGGGTGTTCTGAGGGCAACATCTGATGTGGAAGAAAAGAGTGTGTGTACAATAGTGAAAGTGAGAGCTTCTGCCAAGCACCGGTGACCTTTACTCGAGAAAGTGTATCCCTGTTGAACACACCTGGTCTTCAGCCCAGCCACACCCTCCCTCACTGTATGTGTGTGTTATTGACTAGAAACATACCAGTACGTGATTCAGTTTTAATCATACACAAAGGTAAAATCTGATGTAAACTTTAGCGTGAAAGTGTTGTATATCTGGGATTAAATCTGACATAATGCGAGTGTTACATTAAGGTAAGGGTGGTGTTAGGGGTTTTATTAAGGTAAGGTAAGCGTGGTGTTAGGTGCACCTTTAGGGTAAGCGTGGCGTTAGGTGCACCATTAAGGTAAGCGTGGTGTTAGGTTTAAAGCACTAGTCTGGTTAACAGGTGTTGTGTGAGTCGTCCCTGTCGATACTAACACACTGACGTGTACAATATGTGTAATGTTATTTCCCAGTAGTTCATATGATCTCGATTAATAATATGAATTTTAAGTGCAAAAAAATATGTGGGTTTTTGGTCATTAAGTCACATTGGCTGTTTGATGAACGTTTCAATGTCAGTGTTTTATTGATGTAATAAAGGTGTCAAGGTGAGAGTCAGTTATGTTGGTAAGAGCGACAGCAAAAATAACAAGAAATGTGTGGAAAGTTGTTACGTATAAGATGTTAAGTTGTATTGTTTGGGTGAGTCACGTTGGAGAAGACGCTTGTCATGGCTTCTGACGCTACAGCCCCATGGTCTTGAGGGGGTCAAGATCATATACAGTTGGCATTACTTAGTATATATGGATCACTTAATGGTTACACCCCTCAGCTTATTCCACTTTAATCATCTAGCACGACTAGTGGGGTGGGAGTGAGGCTAGATTATGTTAGGTTAGATTAACTTGGGTGTGTCTACTTCAGGATCTATATAAGTTAGGAAGTCTTGGCAGTTGTGTATATTTTCCTGATTGGGAGTCCTTGAAACTACTGCCGCTATTGTACCATTTTCATGTCCAGTTAATGTAGTGATGTTTTCCAGTTGAGTTCACAAGTTTAGTAATGTAAAAAGATTGATTTTTTGAGGTTGTAGATAACATACACTTGTGGAACCCAGATCTGTGTAGCTTATTGGGCAGGAATTGTCGACGTTGGTTGTTTAACAGTGTACTCAAACCCCCTTGAGTTTGTACTGTACAAGATTTGCTCCACAGTGTTTTCAGTTATGTAAATGTTTTCTAGCATGTTAAGATATATGTCAACACAAATGTTTACTAGTTTAAGATGTCTCCTAGTACATACGGTAACTATTCTCCAAAGATGACTTCTTGGATACACACATTTTCCTGTGTGTATTTTACCCTAAACTTTTACTAGTATAGTTAAGTTAGTTGAAATATCTCCTTGAACATACACCAACTATTTCACTATCTGCCTGTCTCTTATATTTTAGTGAGGTGGATAGTGGTATAGGAGCCTCAGAAAAGTGGGTAAAATAACAGGGATGTTGAAGCAAGTATAAAGGGAGACGGTACAGTCACCCAAAAAAGTCCTGTCGCGAACCACGAACCCCGAGATTAAGACTCGTGAACCCGAAGCAGTAGACACATATACATTATTCTGTCCATAAATGCTTCGGATTCAAGAGTCTGAATCTCGGGGTTCATGGTTCGCGACAGGACTTTTTTGGGTGACTGTACCGTACGTTATATGAAATCCCCAGATATTGTTTGTATTCTCAGCTTGCCCAGTGTAGACGGTGAATCCTTGTGTTCGCACTGATGCACAACACGTAATGATTTTCTTCATAGATGATGATAACATATGTTCACGGGTCCTTGAGGGTTTACCTTACCTGTGGTGGGTCGAGGAGATGTAAGTCAAGGATAAGAGACAGTAGGATAGTTCACCAAGCACTTGTTTTACCCACAATGCACTGCTCGATGGCGCCACTTTTCATGTGCTAACCTCCGAGTGTGCGCGCGTCTGCTCCCCTGATTAAGTTTATCAACAATTATTGTTATTTGTGCAATATACGGGTGCAGCAGCAAAGCTCAAATCCCAAGTAGAGAGCACATCAAGTATTACAGATATCCCAGAGGTAAGAAAACTTGTGATAATTGGACAAATATCCGAAAGCGTTCTGATAACAGATTAGGCAAGCCGAGATACTTGTTCATATTTCTTTTGTATCTCCTGAATTCTGGAATGTTTGTCAATATCCTGGTAGCTACAAGAAGGTGAGACATTCATCTTGCTATATGTGGCCTAAAAGAACTAGGAACTTATTTAATAATCTTGAAAAATTAAAGTTAAGTACATCGGTAAATGGGTTTCTGGTGTCAATACCACGCATGTTTCAAGACGTGAGGGAAGATTTCTTACGTTTCTTAATTCTGCTTACGTTTCTTAATTCTGCAATGTCAGCCAATATCAGGCCATCCAGAAGACTGTCTGACAAAAAACACAATAATGTTGCCCCAAATATAAGAAAAAACCAGTGTTACATCACTTAATTCACCATTGACGCTTTACACCTTGAGAAACTTGCTATATTTTCTGAAGTATTCAAAGTAAGGCAGTTGTATGGAGTACCCTCAGACATTCACCTGCCATGTCTGGCAAAAGGAAAATCTGTGCATTGCTAATAAGTTCAAAAAATGAGTTGCTTCGTCCATTTCATCAGCGAAATGGCCGCCCCCCCCCCCTAGTGTTTCCTTGTAATATTTGTCCTTTTGCTGTACTGTATCACTTATTTTGGGGGACTATGAGAACATAAGGCACCATTTTGTTATACCCGGCCAATTATAGTCCTTGGTGTAAGTGGCCAGTTACTTGAAGCACAACATCGTCTCTTCGGATATTAATGCTTAATTTCATTATAGTAATTAGGTTATATGTCACTTTTTTAATGGCTACATAAATACTTTCACTGCATTTAACATTAGCTGTACAGTACAGTACAATATATGCAAAACAAAACATAAATTAATAAAAAAAATGTGATAGCATTTTGCTTCGGGCTATAATGGCATTTGTAACATCTTGTGATTGATGGTTCACAAAACATTTGGTAATTTAGCTGTTGAACCATGATAATGTCACTGTTTTAGTGTTCAACTTTGCTCTTAGGCAGCTTAAAGTTAATTGAACAATGTATATGAACTTGAACACGTTAAGTACTCTGTATTTGTTCTTACTATTCAAGCTTTTAACCACGTGTACAGTTTTGTGGGCGTGATAACTTTGTTGAGTAAACACTTCTCATTATACCATCTATTATGTCAAACTCGTTGGTTTGTTTATTAAAGCCAAGTAACTCCGATGTTCTTAACATTTTCTCGATGATTATGATCGTATAGTGATGATAATGTGTAAATGTCACGCCTTACTTTCATCTGGATTGGAATGTTGGCTTATTGTTTAAATTTTGTATCTAATCTGAAAGTTTTCGTTAGTAATATATTAAGTATAATGTATCCTTTGAGTATTGTATTGGGTTGTACAGTAGTTGAGTTATACTGTAGCTGTGTTTAAGAGTACCGGGCAGGGTTATCAGCTGAGGATAAATGGGAGAGACCCGTTTATGTTATACAGAACCTGAGGTAATGGTAGACTCACGTGTAAGATGTAGTCTGTACCGTGCCAGGTCTAGACTGTAGGATACCATATTTTTAGATGTACTTAGTGTCTGGGGTAAAGATATACTAGCATGGTATCTGCTCACAAGTCCCACGTTGGTTCCAAGCACAACTTTCACTTTGTCACCGGTGATCGTGGCTCCTGGGCAATAACGTCTAGTGAAAGTTAAAACTTGATCATGTTTGTTTATCTTCTCGCTCAACATAACCTCCGAGGTGGTTACTACTCCTGGATGACTATGGACTCAGTTATACAGGGGATGTAGGGAAGATGGTGATGAGTTTCCTGTTGATATAACTGAGAGAAATCTTGAGGTTTTATTAATCATACTAGACAGACCAGTTATTCCACCTTTCTTGTTACAAAAAACTTGCCGCGTCTGGAGTGGGTGAACAGCCTCTCTCTTGGTTATTTCTTGTCTTGCTTCACCTCTGCCTAACACACACACTTACATTAGGTGTATTACGTTGTGGTGTCCAGTGGTTCTCACGTTTAATATAGTACATCTTGCCTCGTGTTCGTCTTTCTCTACCTCGGGGTCCAGCTCGCACACACACACACACACACGTCTCTCTCTCTCTCACTGTAGGTGCGCGTGATCCAAGTATATGGGAGAAAATAAATAGAAAGTCAATGTCAAGCTTTTTCTGCTGGGCTGAATACCTCTGTCTAATGAGATTTTAACAACGGTATAAGGTGAGGTATTAAAGTGGTTCTCAACCTGTAGGGAGGTGTGAGATGGTCGTAGTAATCCTTATACTATCAGAGTCACAATTTTCCTGAGGTGATTGTTCATTGTTACTGGTGATTATAACACCTGTCTGGTAACTTAAAAAAGGTTCCACCAAATTTTAATATAAGTTACATAATAAGTTTTGACCTTAACTTGATACATTCACTTTACACGAGATAACTTTAAGTTTTGTATATAAAAATAATTCCAGAACAGAGTTGGATATTAGAGAAATCTCATAAAATGTCATGTTAAATGTTAGTGGGCCATTTTGGAGACGTAGTGTGTGTGTGTGTGTGTGTGTGTGTGTGTGTGTGTGTGTGTGTGCGTGCGCGTGCCACTAGAATTAGTTGTGTGCAGTTTAGGTACACTCACTCCCACAAATTGTTCGGCTAATAATGTGTTGGTGAATCACGAAACTAGTGGGAAAGAACTGACAGACTGGCTAGTACATTGACTGGCAGGGGAAGAGGCTAAAACAAAGCAACATGTGGTGGAAGGTGACTAGTAATTAAGACACAATTAGTTGATTGGAGTTTAGGTCAGTAAGAGCGTAGGATAGATGAGTGATCTCTATTGACCGACTATCGAGACTCCTGTGAAGTAATCGTGTCTTCGCCACTCGTCATCTCATGCCATGGCACAGTGGGTATGATCACCAGGAAACTGAACTCACTCGCCACTGTGGTCCTTATATATCTGCCGTAGCTGAAGTCCTGTTAGTTGTCGTTTAGCGTTAGTCATTTATTTGATGGGATAGTTACTTGTGTTCCTGTAAGATAGTTTCTAATAGTTACTTGTGTTCCGGTAAGATAGTTTCTAATAGTTACTTGTGTTCCGGTAAGATAGTTTCTAATAGTTACTTGTGTTCCGGTAAGATAGTTTCTAATAGTTACTTGTGTTCCGGTAAGATAGTTTCTAATAGTTACTTGTGTTCCGGTAAGATAGTTTCTAATAGTTACTTGTGTTCTGGTAAGATAGTTTCTAATAGTTACTTGTGTTCCGGTAAGATAGTTTCTAATAGTTACTTGTGTTCCGGTAAGATAGTTTCTAATAGTTACTTGTGTTCCGGTAAGATAGTTTCTAATAGTTACTTGTGTTCCGGTAAGATAGTTTCTAATAGTTACTTGTGTTCCGGTAAGATAGTTTCTAATAGTTACTTGTGTTCCGGTAAGATAGTTTCTAATAGTTACTTGTGTTCCGGTAAGATAGTTTCCTTTTCTGGCCGTTTCCCTGCCGCAAGATGGTCGTTATCAGGAACAACATGGATCGTCTCCCTCGTTCTGTGCTGTAGAATGGTCGTGTCTTTGAGGCTTTAATTCAACTTAATCCTAAATATGAGTTGACTTGGGGAGTAGTGTTTTGTCGTCTTGTAGTACATGGAACAAACGATAGTAGTCAGTGACGTCTTCAGTCAAGGGTAGAGTTCACCAGTTACATGTTCAAATATTAAACAGTAGTGTCCAGGTGGGAAATAACTAACATCTTCCACTCACGCAGAAAAGAAGTTGTCTGGTTCACCTTATTCAGGTTTTTGTTAGTGTCATTTCTTGAGCAATAAATCAACTTCATGAGTCTTGCTTGACATGTGGGGTAGTGTTTATTCGTCTTATAGGATACAGTGTATATATATATATTACCTCCAAGAGCTCCTAATGGGTTCATGATATTTAATATTTGTCGTTGTATAGTGTAATTATGTTGTGAGGTCATTATAGACACGCGTACTGCCAGGTGAAGCACGACTCTCCCTGGCTGTTAAGTAGAAGGCCCAACGGTCAAACAGTTAATACAGTATTGTGCTACACTACCGGGATATTTCTCAGCTATCATCAGTTAATTATATGAATGAACCATAATAACACCTTCACAGATTAAGGTTCTGCTTATGGCTTATGTGATAGAATATATATATATAATCTTTCCATGCCACATTTGTCAGGTTCCATGTTATGAGGACACGAGGGAGCCACACTACGGAAGGGATAAAAATATATGAAGTGTAGTGAGTGAGATGACAGAAGGTGTAAATTGGTGAGCGGATAAAGTGAAGCTTACCGAGTTGGTGTGGGCATGTGAGGAGGACAGTAAACAGGGTGGGTAGAGGAACACCGCCTCCCTACACCATGTGAGGAGGACAGTAAACAGGGTGGGTAGAGGAACACCGCCTCCCTACACCATGTGAGGAGGACAGTAAACAGGGTGGGTAGAGGAACACCGCCTCCCTACACCATGTGAGGAGGACAGTAAACAGGGTGGTAGAGGAACACCTCTCCTACACCATGTGAGGAGGACAGTAAACAGGGTGGGTAGAGGAACACCGCCTCCTACACCATGTGAGGAGGACAGTAAACAGGGTGTGTAGAGGAACACCGCCTCCCTACACCATGTGAGGAAGACAGTAAACAGGGTGTGTAGAGGAACACCGCCTCCCTACACCATGTGAGGAGGACAGTAAACAGGGTGTGTAGACAATGCCTTACACCATGTGAGGAGGACAGTTGGGTAGAGGAACACCGCCTCCCTACACCATGTGAGGAGGACAGTAAACAGGGTGGGTAGGAACACCGCCTCCCTACACCATGTGAGGAGGACAGTAAACAGGGTGTGTAGAGGAACACCGCCTCCCTACACCATGTGAGGAAGACAGTAAACAGGGTGTGTAGAGGAACACCGCCTCCCTACACCATGTGAGGAGGACAGTAAACAGGGTGTGCTGTGTGTTGGGTAGAGGAACACCGCCTCCCTACACCATGGGGCGGATCAGTACACTCTTTCAACAAGCAGTGTGGGGTTTTATTTGCCATTAACAACATGTGTACCTTTGATAGTATTTATACACAAAATTTTCTCCTTGACAAACTTAGATATAATTATTAAACAATTTGTGTCTTTGATTCTCATATAAAAGGTCTTTGGTCTTTGTCTTATATTGAACCAGATAATAAACCCGTGTTTTTGTACGTGGTTCAGTAGAATAGTTTTAACACAACATTTTATACTAGATAATTCTGCTCCTGGCCCGAGTATCAGCAAAAACAGACAATATTAAAAGTTTTAGTCAACGTGGATTTAATATTATTTTGTGGAGTCGGTGAAATTATTCCAGTTGTTTGTTTAAGGGTGAGTGGCGGCAGCGCTGTGGTGCCTCAGAGGGTGACCTTCACCCCTAGTATTTTGTCGCCCTCTCAGGACAAGGAAGACACACTCTTTATCTCAAATATTGGTGAGACTATTGACCTGATGTCATGTACCATTAACATCAATAAATGGTTCATGTTCATATATTGTTCACATAATCAACAGTACAGTATTGTATTAAACACAAACACAAGTTTAAACTGCATGTGTGGTCAACATTGCCGACACAGTTTTGATCAATAATTTGTTCCACCAATCTCAATTGTTTGTCCTGTAAATGAGGAAAGTATGAAAATTGGTGATTATTGCCAATTACTCAGATGATGTGCAAATTACATATCAACATTTCAAGTACAGTACAATACAATGTGCTAGTGTTGGCTCTCACCAATAGCTGCACCCACCCTCCCTCCCTCCCTCCCACTGTGCCTCACAAATTGAGAGTAAACATTTTGAGAAAAGTTAGAAGCTGTACTTTTACTTTTTTGCAATATTGTCATGGGAGATATTAGCCAACAGAACAACGACAGAGGAGTGTGGTAGTGATGATGTACACACCCCAGCAGCTGTGAGCGGAGGAGTGTGGTAGTGATGATGTACACACCCCAGCAGCTGTGAGCGGAGGAGTGTGGTAGTGATGATGTACACACCCCAGCAGCTGTGAGCGGAGGAGTGTGGTAGTGATGATGTACCTGTGAGCGTTGGTTCATACGGCGGCACTACATCGCTACTTTCACTCATTGATATTCTTGAGCTAAAAACTTGACTTGAGCGAGGAGTTGTCATCTCGCTTCTGTCTGTCAAACACAAGTTAACCCGGTGAATGTCATGAGTAGAAATTCCCACCAGTATTTGTGGAATGTTAAAAATTATCAGTTGTATTTTATGACAGCCACAGCGTCTTGGCTACTTGTAAGATATCCAGTAATGTGGGTGAAGAAGGTATATTGCTTGAGCAAGTGTGGGGACAAATATTGAAGTGTGAGTCTTGAGAGAGAGTTACTGTTGAAGTCATTCTTGTTACCTGGCAGTTGACCTGAAACAAACTTTGTGAGTACCTGATGTACGAGGTCAGGCAAAAATGAACGTTCATATTTACTGTTCAAAAGGATGGGAATAATTTGCCTATCCTTATTAACCACTTCACTATGGGGATGCCACTTATTAACACCTTCACTATGGGGATGCCGCTTATTAACCCCTTCACTATGGGGATGCCACTTATTAACCCCTTCACTATGGGGATGCCGCTTATTAACACCTTCACTATGGGGATGCCGCTTATTAACCCCTTCACTATGGGGATGCCACTTATTAACCCCTTCACTATGGGGATGCCACTTATTAACCCCTTCACTATGGGGATGCCACTTATTAACCCCTTCAGTATGGGGATGCCACTTATTAACCCCTTCACTATGGGGATGCCACTTTTAGTATTTTATTTGCCTAGCCTAACTTAACCCCAGACACTTTTATTCAGTTGAGAGGTGAACCTGCACAGTTATATAAATTATTTGTGATATACTGTACTGTGTGCAGCAGCTGTACAAACTGTGGTTCATTACTTATTGTGCTCTATGTTTGGTATCATTTGTTTATCTTTGTTTTATGTTTGGTACAAAACAAAGAAAGAATGAAAACATCATTCAAAAGCGAATTTCATCTTTGACTTGAACTTTTTAAAATGTTCTAACATCCTCTCTGAGGTGCTAATGCCATGAAATGATTTTCATTTTGATAGTCCAGATATTTAACACTAATTTACTGTAGATAGTAACAGATCTGATTACCAATTGTGTACATATTTAGTTTGAATAAATGGACAGCAATACGAACTTTTCCTATGAAACACTCAGCTATTTGTAACTATAGACTAGGGGCGTGGCTCATGAGCCAGGCTAGCTTAAGAAATGCTGTACTATACTGTAGTCTTAATCTTAAGTACAATGTAGTACAGTACTTGTTACATTTATTCACAAATTTAAAAGTATAAATTTGTAGAGACTGATAAGTCCCCCAACGTCATAAAGGACTGTGGAAAGTAACTTATAATGGTTTTCCTGGGCCACCCTTAGTCCGACTGACATATGGCACAGTTTACTATTGTGATACACTATGTGATGTTGCTGGGCCAGTCTGTACTGTACTGAATAAATGTCATTCTGTCAATACCAGTGACATTGACGCCCTTAACTACAAAGGTCATTTCAAGGTCACCATCATTATTAAGTTGATATCTTGTTCACCTTCTCTTGACACCAGACCTGTGACCTGTGACCTGTAAACTGTACTGTAATTTGTTTGGTCATCATTAGTGCCACCACATCACCCTTTACTCTATCTTAGAGACGTGGAAAATAAATGAAACCTCGTCCATGGCTGGGAAACTATCCAAATACTGTAGTGGGTAAATACTGTAGTTGGTAAATACTGTAGTGGGTAAATACTGTAGTGGGTAAATACTGTAGTGGGTAAATACTGTACTCATTGTGTGTTATCATTCTGTGAACCGCTACCAGGATGTATTTGGTACATTTGACGCGATCTAGTAGCAGTCACACGTCATGTATGGAGTCACTTTCCAACACTTGCCGACACGAGAGTAGCGGCATTTAGTAGGATCTTGCTTGCCGAGTAAAGTTAAACCCCAATAATAACATTTAAAACTGTGTATTAATCCGGGAAATTACTCAAGTGAAAACATTTAAGTCACATATGTACCAAGTATTTTATTACCAACTGTAAACCAAAGTACATGTTTTAGAAGTCTTTCCTAAATACATGATAAATAAACAAGTTGATCCAAGATTATTACATTATTAAATATCATCTCACGTTCTTATTACAACAAACTACAATATAAGGCAGTGTAACTCAGTAAGCCACTACTATCATTAACCCTAGCTAGAGCTGTTAGTACCGGTCTGTACAATATTTAACCATTGCTCAACAAATTATAACAAATTAAAAGGTAATGGATCTTCAGTTATCTAACATTTTTAAGTCCATATTACCTTCAGAAACTGTGACAACATCGTTATAACAGAAAATAAATACAGTACATGTAATGAACATAAAAAGATAAGTATTAACTAAACAGTTACTAATGACTAAACATATATCTCACACACATTAAACCTAAGGCAGTAAAAAATGGTCTCGCCATGACAGTGTTCTTTATAATAAAGGCCAAGGCATAACAAGTGGTGAAGGCGCGGGTTCTTCAAGTGGCATAGACGAGGCAAGTGTTGGCTGGGGCAGATGGTCTCACACATCGTGGTATGAAGGTTTTATCGCTCGCTCTCTTCACCATTACCAACCTCCACCATGGCCTGTCTGACGAGAGTTGTACATTACCAATATCCTTGGCAAATTATGACTGGATGAGCGTTGTCAACACTTGGCGCATGGAAGCCTTTAGACCCGCTCGATCCAACTGCACGAACTTATACAACCTGTAGTGTTGTTGGTGGTGTTCCTCTCTCTCTACTAGCACTGAGGAGACTGCCAGTATTTGAAGCTCCTACAAGAGTATAAAACCGAAAGGGACTCGTCGTTTGTGGTGCACTTTGCAGAGTTAAAGGGTTATAGTATGGGGATGCCAACTGGTTTTGTGTTGGCACAGTAAATATAAAAGGAACTGAATTTACAGGAGTCGCAAAGGTTCTTGTATTAAAATTAATTGGGTTATTAAAAGAACTTAAACCTGGAGAAAATGTCTGAATATTTGTGTCATCTGAAGAAATTGTCTCTGTACTAATGACAGCTACAGTAGATGCCAGGTTACTCGCCACATCATCAGTACCCGTTGTCTGTGTGCTGATAGTTGCTCCATTAAGGTATCCCAAAGATGTGTCAATGGGTGTTTGAGAGTTAAAGCTCACTACACCACTATCATCTGTACCAAGAAACACAGAATTATCGTCATGTACACCTGAGTTTGTATTAGTGAGAGGTGAGGTTTTACCACCAGATAACGAGAATAAGCTTAAGCCTGGAGGATGGACGTACAAATTATTAACTACATCTGGGGTGGTGTTCGGCTCCAGCACTTCAATTAGAGCCTCACTAGCCGCCTGGTCTTGAGTTGGAATATTCTCGATCTGTATTTTACGACCAGTAGATTCCTCTTCGCTGTCATCCGTATAAGAGTCTTCCACTAAGGACACGACACCATCTAGAGATTTTAATTGTTCTTGAGAGTCAGGTTCGGAAAATCTAAATGCTGGTGTACTTCTTTCTTGAGGATCACTGGTAATAAAGACGTGGGTTACTGGTGGTCTTGGAGCTAGTAACAAAGGCTGGGTGACTTCTTCACTATCATCATCATGAGGATCAGTTGCCACAAGGAGATTTATTTTCCCTGGAAGCAAATCAGGTGTTGGTATACGTAACCCAGGATTAGTGTTACCCGTCAGCTGTTTAATAATATCAGCAATTGTGTATGATAAGGAAGTAAGTTCTGCTGGTTTGTTAAGGTGGATGGTTGACCTTGCACTGGGTGCAGTAAAGCTATTGCTATCCAACTGTTGTTTTAACTCTCGGACTTCTTGTAGAATCATTTGTTGTTGTCTCTGTAACATCGCCTGTTTCTTAAGTGCATTTTGCATAAAGTCTTTATGATTGACTCGCCTCCGTGGACTACTGTATGGAGGTGGCTTCGTCTGTCCGTAAGTGATGTATGATGAGTAAGGAGCCGCATGTCTTACGAACCCATTATTGCTGGGTGCTCCCACGACAAAACCTGCAAATATAAAACAATTAATAAAAGTTTCCTATAATTATTGTGGTGATGATAAAGGATAATGAGGCAGTCTCCTACTAACCAGTTTAGTACAGTGTTGGGTAATCACATTTGTTTACATATACAGTATTATTGAGCTTATGAGTTCATGGTGGAGTGTGAGGTCATTTCTTCACTAAACGAGAGTCAAAAGTCCATTGCCAGAATTAGGATTTCGTGTGTTGGTTTCTTTCTTTTTCACTAAACGAGAGTCAAAAGTCCATTGCCAGAATTAGGATTTCGTGTGTTGGTTTCTTTCTTTTTTTTTACAAGAAGTATAGAACTTTGGTCAGGATTTGATCCATTGAGTGTTGTACTGTAACATTGCACGACAAGTTACAAATTGATCATATAAGGTCCCAATACAATAAGAATTAAGTTGGTGTACTTATCGTCGTATGCCATTGGCCAATTTCATAAACATTGTAATGTACTGTACTTCCTGCTCTGATTTGTAAATTTGGGTTATGAACTAACTACCTCGGCTTATCTTTCTTTGTGGCGTGTGTGTGTGTCATTAAAATATAGTTAATATGCAGCACGATATACAGTATTGGTAGTTACAGACCCACGGCAACCATTTTAAGATGCTAGCTCTTGGTTTAATACAATCTGTGGTCAAGGAACACGTCCCTAATCTTGAGGCCTTTGATACTTCATTAACTTTGTTACACTAAACAAAAAAATCAATACTAGTGTTGTTTTAATTATGTTTTATTATTGTACATATTGTAATGTAATATATATTCTGACATTACTCTTGCTAGATACTGTACACAAGATACAGTTGAAGTTACAGCCACTCGACACTCGTTTACTGTAACTCTCTCTGGGGCGTGAAAGTGGGCGTGTAAAGTATTCATGGGAGCTGTAAGAGTTAATGTTTGTCTTATAACCGCGTATTTGTTTTATTAGCAGTAGTGAAAAGTTCGTCCGTCCTGTATACTGGTTCCCCATTTGCTTCATAGTTTGTATAGGATCGTTGGTTTACTGAGCATTGGTGGGTACTGAGTGAAGAGCTATTTTCAACCATAACTGCCGATAAAACTTTAATTACTTGGAAAATGGACATGGGTAAGGTAGACAGGTGCAGGTAGGTAGGTAAATGAAGGTATAGACAGGTGTAGGTAGGTAAATGAAGGTATAGACAGGTGTAGTTAGGTAAATGCAGGTATAGACAGGTGTAGGTAGGTAGGTAAATGAAGGTATAGACGGGTGTAGGTAGGTAAATGAAGGTATAGACAGGTGTAGGTAGGTAAATGAAGGTATAGACGGGTGTACATGGAGTAGGTAAATGAAGAAGGTATAGACAGGTGTAGAGTAGGTAAATGAAGGTATAGACCGGTGTAGTTAGGTAAATGCGGGTGTAGGTAGGTAAATGAAGGTATAGACAGGTGTAGTTAGGTAAATGCAGGTATAGACAGGTGTAGGTAGGTAGGTAAATGAAGGTATAGACGGGTGTAGGTAGGTAAATGAAGGTATAGACAGGTGTAGGTAGGTAAATGAAGGTATAGACGGGTGTAGGTAGGTAAATAAGGACGTGGACAGGTGTCGGGAGGTGAATAAGGGCGTAGACAGATAAATTAGGGCAAAGACAGATATAAGTAGGTAAATAAAGACGGAATATTTCTTACCTGCAAGAAGCACAAGCGGTAGAATCTGCATCGCTAAAACCGGTCACCTCCTCTGGCTCTCTCCTGTACAAATAAACCGGTGATGAGAAAGTTGTCTTATATCTATTTCCTATATAAAACACTTTCTTAGTTAACGTGGTGGCTCTTACAATAGTTAACGTGGTGGCTCTTACAATAGTTAACGTGGTGGCTCTTACAATAGTTAACGTGGTGGCTCTTACAATAGTTAACGTGGTGGCTCTTACAATAGTTAACGTGGTGGCTCTTACAATAGTTAACGTGGTGGCTCTTCTAATGAATTAACGGTAATTTGGCTCTTACAATAGTTAACGTGGTGAAACAATTACAATAGTTAACGTGGGCGGCTCTTAATGAATTAACGTGGTGGCTCTTACAATAGTTAACGTGGTGGCTCTTACAATAGTTAACGTGGTGGCTCTTACAATAGTTAACGTGGTGGCTCTTACAATAGTTAACGTGGTGGCTCTTACAATAGTTAACGTGGTGGCTCTTACAATAGTTAACGTGGTGGCTCTTACAATAGTTAACGTGGTGGCTCTTACAATAGTTAACGTGGTGGCTCTTGGGAATTAGATTTTGGTTTGTTTACGTTATTTTTGGTAGTGTTTAAAGAAAGAAAATAGTGAAAATTTAAATGATAATTGATGTTTGGATTTCTTTGTCTATACCTGTGATAGATTAAAGTTCTCTAGCATAATTTATCTTTGGTTATAGTAGCTGGGGTAATAAATAATAAGTGAAAGTTTGCCGGCGAAAGTTCTTGCACACACACACACACACACACACACACACACACACACACACACTAACATTTGTGGAAATTTGTAACTGTCTGTGTAGTTTTCCTTGCTGTAGTGAGTGGTGACTTACCTGACAAACAGTAGAGATTGGAGATGGTTGTGGTGTGTGGCAGCTGGGAGGGGAGTCTACCAACTCTACTTCCTATCCTGTCGTCTGCCGGGTGGGAACTGTCTTGACTGGCTTGGTACTCCTTATATATACGCGCCCTTCATCACAAAAACTGGTTCATTACTCCACACACACACCAATAAGAACCACATTTATAAAGTCAATGAATATATTTATCCCGTGTTTGTTGTTCTCGGATTCAATATATTTAATTTTCAAAACGTAAGTCTAAAATTATCGTTATTTTTGAATGCATCATAACTGAATTCATATTTTCCTTATTATGTAATGTGTTCAGGGTAAATTATACAAAGCAGGTGTGAAGGGTAGTGAGGATTTTGCTACCACGTGTGAAGTAAATAAAGTGACTCTAACACCTGACGCGATATGCCGTATAGAACTGATGTATTGTGAAACTTGAAATGTAAGGGAAGATTTTATCGTTCTGAGCCTAACAAATGTACTGTGGGTTAGGGTAGAACGATGGCGCGCGTGTGTGTGTGTGTGTGTGTGTGTGTGTGTGTGTGTGTGTGTGTGTGTGTGTGTGTGTGTGTGTGTGGGTTACTCCCCGTATTCCCAGCTACGAAACCACTATCCAAATTTTATCGTCAAAAGCATTAGTTACTCCTATTCATTCCTCACCGCTTGAGTAATTTGGAAATAAATGTCAAAATACGGAAAAAAATGCATAAAAAATTGGTACTGGTGTAGAATGAATTTGTTAGTTAAATCTTTAGTGAAAGCTTTAACAAATGTCATTGATAAAAGTATAATAATTCCAGTATTTGGTAGAACATCATTGACAGAGAAAATAAGATATCAAGTGCTCGGTGCCGTCACATTTTATTAATAGTTACTGTAAGTCAATTTGTCACTTTAAGTTACATTAGAATTCTCTTAAAAATTAATGAATGCACACACTGACTTTTTTCATGCCAATTACCTTCCGATTGCATAAAGTTTTCAGTTACATTCTTCAATAGTATACTTGTATGCAACGGCTGTGCGGGTGTACAGTAGTCCACCATCAAACGCCCTTACTGCTCACTGAGTCACCTTGCCAAAGAAGATGTATACAGTATTATTGTGTTGCCTTATGAAGAGGAATACTACGAGAAATGTTGCCAATACTTATTACACATACTGGAAATACGTAGTGCTATTGTGTTTACATTATATATAGCATCTTCTTCAACTGTTTTTTAAATCCGTCATGTGGAAGTAGAAACTGCTCTCATAAAGTGAAATATTAGCCTAATATTACAATATGTGGTATTTGATAACTGTTTGCGCCACTTTATAATGAAACGCTTGTTCGAATTCAAAAGTGAAACTATCATAGCTTAAGTTATCTAACTTAACACTTGTTTATAATGTGAACAGCCTTGAAAAACATATGGGACTTGTAACTTCCAACCAGTGTGGCGCAGCCTCCAGGCTCGAACCCGTGTGTTGAAGCCTCGTCCGGCACCTCCCTGATATTGTATATATATTATTTATTTTGTTATATAATATCTTGTGGTCAGTTTGTGTTGAGTTATTGTTAAAACACAATAATGCGGCCAAAAATGTGGAACGCTTCACGATTTTGCGTGTCATCCTTGCGCAGGGGCCATGCTAATCTTCTCTGTATCGTTCCAATTTTAGTATATGTACTGCCGAAGCAAGTACATCAAGTGAAGGGAGGTCTGGCGGGCAGTGCTAGATGTAAACTCGTTATATAGTCTACATTGGCTGGATGTGTACATGACAGTACAGGATAACTATCAAAGCAATAACACAAGAAAGCCGTACATAACTCTCACCATTGTGTATAGTGTTCAGTCCCCGGTGTGGCTCGTTGATATATACTACACACTGTATTGATTGAAAATGTCCAAAGGTGGGCCACCAGACTGGTGCCTGCACTCCGGCACCTCAGTTATCCAGAGAGATAAGAACGCCTGCAACTGCCTAGCTTATACTACAGACGGACGAGGGGCGACCTATTAGAAGTTTAAAAACATCTCGGGGGCACTACTCACTGTCCTTACCTAGAGCTGGCGGACGCTCGCCCCACACAAGAGGTCACAGCTTAAGCTTGAAGAATTAAGCCACAAGTCAAGAAAACTGTGAAGGTAAACTTTTTCGGGGGTGAGGGTTGTGAACTCTTGGAAAAAAGTTACATTTATTCTATTATAATTAATGCTGCTGTTTTTTACCATTGTCTTAATTATTATGCTGTATCATAGTCAAGAACGGCAGTAAACAGTGGTTGTGAATATCTCCCAAGCGTCTTTAGGCCTCCAATTTATTTTTGGAGTAATTATTTATTGTCATTTCCTGTTTATTTTATTTTGATTAACTTGTGTAACTATCTTGTTATCCGATTATATAAAGTACTGGAGAGGTGACTCCTGCTTGAATAATATTACCTCAGCTGTTACCTGTACACGTTACGTTTATAATTATGATCTAGTGTGGTGGCGGAGAACTCAGTTGTCCATGTTGATGTGTTGGTTATACACGTGTGTACGTCAGATTGGTTTACATCTTAAACATATGAACATTACACGCCATTTCCTTCGTGTTGGTAAACATTTAAATCAGTTTGACCTAATTTGTGACAATAACATTAAAGACATTGAAGTATTGTCTCTCAAAATCTTACAATGAAAGGTTTTGGACGGCAGACAATGGCAGCAGGTATTGAGGAACAATGAGCGCCCCTAAACATTTACTACTATGAACTGCTTAACAACTCTACATTAAGGTGATGTGCTAGCGCAGAGCCACCACATACAAAACACTCGCCTCTCTGCAACTGTGAAGAACTGCATTGATTTAACTAATTTGTGTCGAGTATTAGTATATAACAGTTTAGTGTAAATATTACCACTACTTAGTTGAAGCTTCAATACGAGGAGAAAGTGGTTATATTCCTGACCTGGATATCTTGCTGTGAATGTGTCCACCAGTGTGATTATTGGCTGTTTCTAAATACATAATAATTTATTTAAAATTTTTACCACTTATTAACATACGAGCCATTCGGACAGTTGGCCCTTTCTTTGTTACGGCCCGCCATTATCCTCTGAACACAGGAGGAAGCCGAGGAGAACCCGCCATTTTTTTTTTGGCCTTTCACCGGATAACACTGCCAGCGTCTCACAACTGACCCGGCCAGGGATTGAACCGAGGACACAACGGTTAGTTAGACGCAACATCCTGTATGGGGGTGAGAGGCCAGGGTGTAAAGCTTTTAACGGCTTTCTTGGGTTATCCTTTCTTTAAATGGACCTTGTTTACCTGGTCTATGTACGGGATATGTTAAACTAGTGTAAGTTTTATGACAGCTCACGGAACAAATCCATTTATCACTTCCCGCCAGACCTCCCTTCATTTAATGTACTTGCTTCGGCAGTACATATACTAAAATTGGAACGATACAGAGAAGATTAGCATGGCCCCTGCGCAAGGATGACACGCAAAATCGTGAAGCGTTCCACATTTTTGGCCGCATTATTGTGTTTTAACAACAACTCAACACAAACTGACCACAAGATATTATATAATAAAATAAATAAGATAAATATCAGGGAGGTGCCGGACGAGGCTTCACCACACGGGTTCGAGCCTGGAGGCTGCGCCACACGGGTTGTGTTGAGCTGTTAGTCATGTCTTTTACGCACCTGATAAGTACTGGTCATGTGCTGGCACCAGAACGTGTTTACCTGCGCCTATGTTAGTTAAGTTTGGTCTTAATGAGCTAACACTTGGTGCCGAAGAGGATAGTGTATATAATTATAAAAAAGAAAGTAAAAGTAACACGTGGCGCAGCCTCCAGGCTCGAAGCCGTGTGGTGAAGCCTCGTCCGGCACCTCCCTGATATTGTATATCTTATTTATTTTATTATATAATACCTTGTGGTCAGTTTGCGTTGAGTTATTGTTAAAACACAATAATGCGGCCAAAAATGTGGAACGCTTCACGATTTTGCGTGTCATCCTTGCGCAGGGGCCATGCTAATCTTCTCTGTATCGTTCCAATTTTAGTATATGTACTGCCGAAGCAAGTACATCAAGTGAAGGGAGGTCTGGCGGGAAACCATTGTTGGGAATCAGTGATCCCGAACTGACAAACGAACTATGTACAGTACGTCCCACTTTTAATAATCATTGTGTAGGTCATTTAGGAAGGTACTCTTAATATTAATATTTAATCAGTAAAATTGTCTTACAAGTTTATAATTGGTACTGTATGTACAGTATATAAGCTGTACAGGTATACATCTCAGCATGAACACAGACAATACAGGTACACGGTGTCTATAGAGCGTGGTGATAGAGTTTCGTGTGTGCCGAGACAGTGCAGGTGAAGGATGACAGACAAAGCTCTCAGGTGTTTATTTCTAGGAGAGACCTTTGTTTAATATCAACACTAATGTAACACTTTAATGTTCACTATTACTGTTGTAATAGACTTACATTAAGAATACTGTACAAGTACGGGACCATGACACACAAACAGAGAACTAGTGTAACGAAGTCCTTCCTGCAGTGAGTGTACAATATTGTAAAAGAAAATGAGTATTATTCTATTTTATATGTAAGGATAACTATGGTAAATATTACTGACTAACTCAAGTCTAATATGAATATTGTTTTTAACATGAAGTAGTGAGAGCTCTGCCACCATGGGTAACTGGACGACGAGGAAGAAACCTTTCATCTACAGTAGAATTACATAATACAGTACAACCAAACACAAGCTTTCACCACCGACGGGAGAGCCTGTTGTTTCTGCTGGTCATCTACACGTGGGTGTTGGTGGGGAGTGGTCCTACCATAGCTATATAGATAAACAAATATTCAGTCAACTCGTCACACAAGTTTAACGCTGGTTCAGCAGGCTACGATTTGAACCAGTGACGACCAACATAATCTTGTGGGTTTTTTTAAGTACGTTTGAAAAGGTTATCTATTTTATCATTATCTCGAAATAAATTTGAATTTTAAAGTCTTCTGTGATGCCAGGAAGTGAAAAACATAGTTGTAGTTTAAACATAATTGTAGTTACAGTAGACGAACATAAACAGTATTTTTTTTTAATAAATTGGGATTGTCGTTTGTATCGAAAGAACAATAGATTTGATCTTGTATGAACTTGTATATAACGACTTATAACGTACAGCAGTGTGACGCAGCCTCCAGGCTCGAACCCTCTCAGTGAAGCCTTGTCCGGCACCTCCCTGATATTTATCTTATTTATTTTATTATATAATATCTTGTGGTCAGTTTGTGTTGAGTTATTGTTAAAACACAATAATGCGGGCAAAAATGTGGAACGCTTCACGATTTTGCGTGTCATCCTTGCGCAGGGGCCATGCTAATCTTCTCTGTATCGTTCCAATTTTAGTATATGTACTGCCGAAGCAAGTACATCAAGTGAAGGGAGGTCTGGCGGGAAACCATTGTAGCGGACTTCACTAATCAAATACAGTATACAAGAAATTAACTTGGATTGTGTGGGGCTCATAGTAATATTTAAACCTCCTATGACCTTAATTAACCTGATAATTATTTCAAGACAAAACAACTATATTCGTCTAGGGGATAATTGTTTGACCTAACACGAAGCTATGGTAGCCACTGTTATATTTTGATGGTAAATACTATACTGGGGATGAAACAGACATACAGTACTTCTTTTATTATTATTATTACTGTATTATAAAGACTATTTTCTGCAGGTAAGTGTGGAGCAGTGTTGTGCTGGACTAGGGTAAGTATGACATTTCAATTATTTATTTATATTTTAAGTTCGATTGTTTATTCAGTGATCAGTTAATTTCCGTAAAGTTGACCGACTGTCTGTCTGTCTGTCTTGGTTCTTACATAACTACAGTACAAGGGGTAATAAAATACAGTGTGGTAGATCATTCTATTAACGCTACAGTAGGCTACACTTATACACTCCTTATTTTCGTTGTACCAAAGTATCTCTGTACATTAAGAACACTTTGTACAGTACCTTTGGCCATTATACTGTTATCGTGTACAGTACCTTTGGCCATTATACTGTTATTGTGTACAGTACCTTTGGCCATTATACTGTTATCGTGTACAGTACCTTTGGCCATTATACTGTTATCGTGAACAGTACCTTTGGCCATTATACTGTTATCGTGTACAGTACCTTTGGCCATTATACTGTTATCGTGTACAGTACCTTTGGCCATTATACTGTTATCGTGTACAGTACCTTTGGCCATTATACTGTTATCGTAGTACCTTTGGCCATTATACTGTTATCGTGTACGTGTATCCCATTACCTATTATACTGTTATCGTGAACAGTACCTTTGGCCATTATACTGTTATCGTGTACAGTACCTTTGGCCATTATACTGTTATCGTGTACAGTACCTTTGGCCATTATACTGTTATCGTGTACAGTACCTTTGGCCATTATACTGTTATCGTGAACAGTACCTTTGGCCATTATACTGTTACTGCTGCTCACGTCTCATCAACACTCATCTTGTTGATAATTGTGGGTCAGTGTGGCCACCAATTTTTCATCATCACTCAGTCACTACAGTTTATGATAGTTTGGCTGAAGTAATAAGGTGGTTCATGGTAACGTCTGTTGTTTATTACTGTGACGGTAAACAAATCACTCATGAGTTTGGGTCCTCTGAGGGAGTGTACAAGTTGTGGTGGGAGTATGTGGTGCATGGTGTGGCGCATGGTGTGGTGGTGATGTGGCGCACCAGCCTTCAACTCACTCACGACACAACACACACCATAACTTTCCTATTAGGTGTGCATACAAGTTACAACTGATAACATTATTCCTGGAAATATATAAGAAAAGGCACTTAATTTATACTCAATAGTTCCTAATATTACTCTGTGTGTGTGTGTGTGTGTGTGTGTGTGTGTGTGTGTGTGTGTGTGTGTGTGTGTGTGAAGGTTATCAAGCCATACCGAGGTGTGTACAGTAAGGGCTGATATCAGGGCTTCATACTTAGCATGGTGCTGTAGTTAGAGCCTCTGTGTAAGTGTATAGAGGAGGAGCGACGCCTGTGGTGTAAGTGTGGCTCCATAATCAAGTATTAATCCAACTCTGAAGGTTTGGATCTGCTCTGAAACATTTAGAGTTATTAAAGTGAGTTGGAGGCTTGTAGTCCTTAACACAGGTTATTGGACCCGTACACAGACTGGTGAGAGGACCAACTATACACCTACTAAAGATACTACCAGCATTATACATAGATTTATATATTTTTTTATATCCATTTTCTTAAAGGATCCTTCACTTAATTGTACTGTATATACACATTTACAAACACAGTATGAAGCCTTTCGTCGTGACTAGCCACCTGCTGTAACGCAAGCTTTCTCACACACTAAAAGGTCAACGGTGAATATACTTTATATTAACACCAGGGGGCAGTTGAGTAGTGTCGTTACAAGTTAATATATCACTATCAGTCTCTTCACTATCTTCATCTTCATCACTAATTGTCACTATCACCAGAGTGTTACTTCACTATCACTATCACCGGGGTGTTGATACTGTACGTGGAGGTACTGTACGTGGTTAAGTACAGTAGGTGGTGAACAGAATTACACAGTATGTCACCACCAGCTCGTCACATCTCACTAACACTGTATTATTCATCATGTCTTAGGTGAAGGCCTTTGTTAACGTTCACTGTAAAAGTTCATGTTTCGTTCCATCGATTCACACTGCATATAATAGTTATCTTGTGTTGGTCTTTATGGTATTAGGGGCACAAGACACTTAATTCGGTGTATCTTAAGAGAGAGAAACCATGAAGAAAGGTCCTAGGTCTTTCTGTTCTCTGATGTAGAACGGGAGACCAGAGAGGGCGGGGGAGGAGGAGGGAATGTCGACTTTAGGGTAAGGAAGACCTCTCCTCCAGCCTGCCACCCTCAGGAGCCCGTCTTCCTGGATGCTCACACTGTCTTTGCTGAAGGGAGGAAAGGCAGTAACGGCCTTGTCAATAATAGGCGGTAACTTGTCCGGCAGAGGTGATGGAGTGTGGTGGTCACTGAGCGCCTGCTGCCCCGTCAACCCAAGTAGTGGTAAACGAGAGAAGGTGTGTTTGGTCTGTGTGTTGGCTGCTGCTGTAGATCTGGACTCTCTCTTGTAGGAGGATGTTGAAGGAAGATTAGATTTATCTTCTTCCTTCTCCTCCTCTTCCTCCGCCTCCTCTTCATTCTCCTCCTCCTCCTTTTCCTTCTCCTCCTTTTCCTTCTCCTCTTCCTTTTCCTCCTTCTTTTCCTCCTCCTCCGCCTCCTCTTCATTCTCCTCCTCCTCCTCTTCCCTCTCCTCCTCTTCCTTTTCCTCCTCCTCCTCCGCCTCCTCTTCCTTCTCCTCCTCTTCCTCCGCCTCCTCTTCCTCCGCCTCCTCTTCTTCATCCACCGTTAGCCTCGATCTGTGTGTAACTGTTGGTTGAGGATGATCACTTGACTCATTACTAGGTGGAGGATGATTTAATGTGTCATCCACCTTAATGTGTGGATGAAACTGGTGTGTACCGTTGATGGTGGGTGCTGACACGTGGGTAGTGTGTGAGTGAAGGTGGATATCGTTCTCTTCACCTGCAGCATTAGTTAGCTTCTCCTCGGTAGTATTAACAGGTTGTGATGACGGTGACGGAGAGCTGACGGTGTTGTGTGTCGCCTTCACTAACTGTTCATCATCTGAAGCCCCACCGAGTTGTGGGTCTTGTTGCCGACTTATGGTGAGACGTGAAGGTTGTCGTCCCAGGAGAGGCGAGAGTGACTCAGTGTGTCTTTGTCTTGTTTCATAATTCGTAATTCGTGGCCTTTGACGCCGACTTTTCCTGGAGTTGGATGGGCGTTGCGTGCGTGTATGCGTGTCCGACTTAATGACGCTCTGACGTAAATCACGCTTACCCTGATTGGTTGTACGGTCTTGACTTATCTCTGGTGGCGAGAAGTACACTGGCTGAGGAACCTGTTTATGGGGGTCGTTTCTGCTGGTGTGGTACTGGAGGAGCTGTTCAGGTGACACGGATACAGAGAGAGGAGGACCCGCCCCAATTATGGTTCCTATCTCGACTCGTAGCTGCTGCTTCAGGTTGGCGGGGGTCGTGGGTGAGGAGACAACAGGTTCTCTCTCGCGGGTTTTGACATCTTCAGACATTTCCACTTCAGGTGTTGGGGAAGGTTCAGTCGCTGGGGTCGTAGTTCTTGAGGGTGGTGACATTGAGTGACTGGAGACGGAATTATCTTTGAGTGACGGTGCCTGGGCCGGCGGGTGTGTGGTGATAGTGGTGAGGGCGGGGGAGGTGTGGGGGATAGTAAGGGGGAAGTGGTGGGGATAGGCGGGGTATGGTGTGGGTGGATAGTGGTGTGGGCGGTGGAGTAGTGTGGGGGGATAGTGGCGTGAGCTCCGATGGTCCATATCGCATGGACTGTGTTGTCGAATGATCTCTGAGTGTGGAAGGAAGATTAAGTTGTGGCTTGCGACTCTGGAAACTGTCTTGTGGGGGAGGTGGGTGTGCGAGGGGCCGGGACCTGGGCACATGCTGTAAGTGGTGATCCTCTTCGGGTAATAGTCGTGATTCTTGAAGTGGTGAAGGTGTGGTGCGGCGGGGGGGGATAAAGGAAGGTGGTGGGGTGATAGGACCACGGGGTCTGGTTCTCTTGGGTGGTGGTGGGGTGCCCAAAGAGTTGATGGGCACTAAAGGTAATATAGTCGTAGATGAGCGGTGCCGCGTTCTAGTGGTGGGGGGTGAGGGACGGACATTCACGCGTCTCACAAGAGGAACTTGATAGTCCTCATAATCATAATAATAGTCGTCGTCATAGTAATAATCATCGTCCTGGTATTGATAGTCTCTGTTCGGCTCATCTTGACTGAGTCTTTGGTCAAGTGACTCAAAGACGTGAGCAAATGGGTCCGGGTGTAGGAGTTTGTGACCAGGTTGATTGCGAGTGTCACTTGGCGGGGTCCTCTGTGTTGTGTATGGACGGTATGTTGTCGGGGGAATATCTACGGTAGGTTGGGTCACCTGTTCACCTTCTCCCCTCTGGTAGTGTTTGGCCGGTAGTTGAGTCCTTAGTACCTGCGGCTGTGTAGGTCTGCGTATAGGTAGTGGTTGTCGTGTCAGGTATGGGAGTGGATGTATAGGCTGTGGTCGTCTTAATAAATGGTGTGGTAGAGGTCTAGTAAAGTGTGGACGTCGGAGAAGTAATCGTTGTGGTAGTTGTAGTCGACCTGGCGGGTGAGGTAAGACGCCAGCGGCCTGACTCACTGGGACGCGGCTCTCTGTTGGTGCCTCATACTGGAGAAGGTAATCTGGGTCCTGGCGGTGAGCAGTGGTGAGGGTGCTGCCCCCACTGTGCTGAGGAGCGAACTGCTGGTGTTCCTGGGGAGACAGCTGATGTTGCTGGGGAGACAGCTGATGTTGATGGGGAGACAACTGGTGTTGCTGGGGAGACAGCTGGTGTTGCTGGGGAGACAACGGTGTGGGGGAGACAACTGGTGTTGCTGTGGAGACAGCTGGTGTTGCTGGGGAGACAACTGGTGTGGCTGTGGAGACAGCTGGTGTTGCTGGGGAGACAACTGGTGTTGCTGGGGGAGACAACTGGTGTTGCTGTGGAGACAGCTGGTGTTGCTGGGGAGACAACTGGTGTTGCTGGGGAGACAGCTGGTGTTGCTGGGGAGACAGCTGAGGAGACAGCTGGAAGCTATGTGGAAACAGTTGGGGAGACAGCTGGTGTTGCTGTGGGAGACAGTTGAGAGATAGGCTGGTGTTGCTGTGGAGACAGCTGGTGCTTGTTGGGGAGACAGCTGGTGTTGCTGGGGAGACAGCTGGTGTTGCTGTGGAGACAGTTGAGGAGACAGCTGGTGTTGCTGGGGAGACAGCTGGTGGTGCTGTGGAGACAGTTGGGGAGTATATAGGTGGTCAGCGGTGAGTGAAGGTGGTATAGACACAGGTGGTCCGTGTAGGACGGTGGCAGGTGTTAGTTGAGGTGTTGGTTCACTAGTGTCTTTAAAGTTAAACTGACTCACAACAAAGTTGGAATTCAGGTATTGACGCCGCTGGTCCTCGTGTGGGGCCGGGCTGGTCACCTGAGGGCTGCCGAATATTGATTGGTTCCAGTGTGTGAGAGGGCCGGGAGCTGGAGGAAACTGTTGTAGAGGATTGTGTTCAGTTTGTATATTGTTATTAAATACTGCAGCAACTGGTGTGTCGGTGGTTGTCACAACTGTTGTAGCTCTGCCTTGTATATATTGTTGGCTTAACCTTTGTGTTCCTGTGGATTGGTTAACACTTACAGCTGGCGGGTCACTGGCCTGTAGAGTCTTGGCCACGTGGGACTGTATACTGTTGATCTCTGGTGACTCAAGAGGCACCGCCGACTGGCCAGGTGACCTCAACAATGGCTGGACGAGAACTGTAGCTTCTGACGTAACCGAACTCCCTTCAGGTAAGTCTACGTCGTCAGGTAGTGAAGATATTGTGTGTGGTAAGTGAGTGACGGTGGAGATGGGGGGAGGGTGGAGGGCGGGGGCTTGTTGCGGTGTACCTGGCTCCTCACCCTCGTCGACGTGTGGCGGCTCAGGAGCAGCGTTGAGGGCGTCGAGCACCACTGTGGGGAGGGCCTTACTCACGCCCGCTGGAGGACGCCTGTACCCGTGTTCCTGAATACTTACGCCTGACTCGATTTCATTCAGATGGGCGTGAGCGTGGGCGTGTCTGACCACGAGTGGTTTGGTTAGGGCGGCGGGAGGGCGGAGGTGTGTTGGGGAGGGTGTGGGCGGCCAGTAGGGCTGGGCGGGTATGAGGCCTCGCTCACCTGGGTTAGTGATGGACACCTGGGCAGAGGGAACGCGGCTCAGGTGCTGGCTGGCTCCCCACCCGCTCACAACACCTGCAACACAATCACAACTTGAACAACCTAATCACAATCATCGCTAACAAGATGGTGTGGTTAGGTTAGGTTAGGCCGTCATCCCTCAACTCGTCTCACTGTAGGTTCTAGTCTTGTCACAGTCACTCAGGTGTAATCTCATCGTCACTGCTAATTTGGGAAACGGTAACCTGATGATATTAACCCCTTGAGTACGATGACTTAACCCCTTGAGTAAGATATCATTGTACTCCGTGGACTAGACTATCGTACTCAAGGGGCTAAATCACCGTAATCAAGGGGTTAAGCCATCGTACTCTAGACGGTCAGGTGCTTCAAGAGTAATAGCAGTTAACCTTGTAATAGTTTTATGTGTAATTATTCCTGAGTGACGAAGATCCCAGTAGGTGTGATGGAGGTTCCCGTGTGACCACCTGAGGTAACATGGCGAAAGATGGGGACTTGCCTCACCACCTGGCGCCCTCCTTTACTTGCTAAGATTGTTTGTGGATGAAGGTTGGGGTGTGTTGGTGTGAGGGTTGGGGTGTGTTGGTGTGGAGGGGTTGAGGTGTGTCAGGGTGTTGGTGTGAGGGTTGGGGTGTGGGCAGTGTGAGGGTTGAGGTGTGTGTGTCAGGGGTGTGTTGAGGTGTGTTGGTGAGGGTTAGTGTTGGTGTGAGGGTTGGGGTGTGGGGTTGTGTGGAGGGTTGGGAGGTGTGTGTCAGGGTGTGTTGAGGTGTGTTGGGGTGTGAGGGTTGGGGTGTGTTGGGTGTGTGAGGGGTTTACAGTGTGTACTGCGTGTTGAGGTGTGTTGGTGCAGGGTTAGTGTTGGTGGAGGCTAGTGTGTTGGTGTGAGGGTTGGGGTGTTGGTGTGAGTAAAACAGTGTTGCATGCAGGTGGCGGGGGTAAGGTCATGTTCATCAGTGTGTTAAAACCAGATACGTCACCTCTTACCACACCGCTAAGGCTGTTTCTCCCCGTGAGTCTATAACACCCTAACCTAACCTAACCCTAACCTAACCCTAACCTAACCAAACCCCACCAAAAATATAGGATAATTAATCTTTTGGTGAAATAAACTTGGCTGGATATTCTTATTTTCATTTAATGGTGAATGGAATATAGTTATTGAAGTATAAGATAAACGGTAAATAAAGTATTAACTCACATAGAAGCCACAGGGTCAGCATGATGGTGACTGAGAGACATTCGTGGGTGAGCTGACAGGGCCGGGTGGGTGAGCTGTCAGGGCCGGGTGGGTGAGCTGACAGGGCCGGGTGGGTGAGCTGTCAGGGCCGGGTGGGTGAGCTGACAGGGCCGGGTGGGTGAGCTGTCAGGGCCGGGTGGGTGAGCTGACAGGGCCTCGGGTGGGTGAGCTGTCAGGCTGGTGGGTAGCTGTCAGCTAGGTGATGAGCTGACAGGGCCGGGTAGATGAGCTGTCAGGGCCGGGTGGGTGAGCTGTCAGGGCCGGTTGGGTGAGCTGTCAGGGCCGGTTGGGTGAGCTGATGGGACGGGGTAGGGCAGGGGCGAGGCTGGGTCACCCTCCAACACCACCTTCACATCTCCATCCTCCTCACTTGCTAGGATATCCTTATCTTCCTCTCTTCCTTATCTTTACCTTATAGTTCTTATCTTATGTTTGTGCTCTTGTCACTAGGTTATATAACAAACACACACAGATCATTTCCCTGGATCACTATATTTACACTTCTGGGGTTGAGTTTTTATCTCTTTGTCAATGCACTGGATGGTTTAGGTTAGCTTAGTTTAGGTTAGCTTAGGATTCTTCAGCTTGGTAACAGTATGGTAATCCGTCTTAGCACGAGGGATCAGTTATTAACACGAGGGGTCAGTTATTAACACCGTGGATCAATTATTAGCACGAGTGATCAATTATTAACACGGTGGTTCAGTTATTAACACGGTGGATAATTATTAACACAGTGGATCAATTTTTAACACCACTATAGTATTTTTAACCACCACGGCGATAACTAGAGAGATATTTTCCTTCTGTGTCCAATTTTCTTCTGATTCTTAATGTTGATGTCTGCGCCCGTGGTAGTTCCCTCACTCTGAAAAGACGAAGACATTGATGTAGTGGGAATATGGTGTGTGTGTGTGTGTGTGTGTGTGTGTGTGTGTGTGTGTGTGTGTGTGTGTGTGTGTGTGTGTGTGTGACTCCTTCAGGCAATCTTCCACAACTTTCTCCAGTCACCGTGGTTCGTAAATTGCTTTCAAGTTTCATCCTTTCACCGTTTATCAGACATTTAATACAGATATAACCCATCGTATTATTTACATTATCCACCTCTTCTGAACCTAACCTAACCCAACCTGTTTTAGTACTTGTTGTGGTGTATGACAGGTCGCTAGTGGTGTTACTCTGTCAGGTACTGTACAGGTAAGGGGACGCAGGATAGGTGTTTAATTAGGGGGAGGGGGAGTACGTCTGAGTTGGGCAATAAGAACAGGTCAGGTCAGGTTTTGTAATCGAAAACTAATAATTTTTTTGTAATTTATAAGGAATTTTTGGTATAATTTGATCCTTGAGGTCTTGATACTTAACCTTGTTTATAATGATGACTAGATATGGTGAAGGCTGGGTTAATAGTGAAGAATAAGGAATAGAATGGTGATTATAGTGGGGTGGGGTCAGCTGTGAGAGAGATGAAACTGTGGGAAGAATAACGAAGAGTGTAATTGTGTGATGTAATGTGAGAATGGTAGAGGTGGTGGTGTGGGATTGGTGGGGGGTGAAGCATGTGAGTTGTGTTACCTGGGTGGAGTGTTACGTTACCTGGGTACACCTGTAACACGATGTAGCGATGAAGAATTTGTCACAGATGGAGAAAGAATAAATGAATTTGTCTTTTTCTGGTAAATATTTACGGAACCTCATTATGTAGATGTGGTGTATGATGTGTGTGTGTGTGTGTGTGTGTGTGTGTGTGTGTGTGTGTATGATGTGTGTATGATGTGTGTGTGTGTGGCGTGTGTGTGTGTGTGTGTGTGTGTGTGTGTGTGTGTGAAAGAGTGTGTGTGTGTGTGTGTGTGTATGATGTGTGTGTGTGTGTGTGTGTGTGTGTGTGTGTGTGTGTGTGTGTGTGTGTGTGTGTCCGTTCAATTTTTCAAGCTCATCTTCTTATCTTTTTGCCACTGTTAATATTGGTTATTCTTTACTTTACGTGTGTTCTGGACCAAGGCTTCCCGTGTCTGTCTGTCTGTGTGTACATCTTCATTTGTTGTAATAATAGTAGTTGGTAGTCGAGTGGATGGACCTGTAGGTAACACTCCTTCTCTACACACACACACACACACACACACACACACACACACTTAGTATAAACACAATTTACAACTTGCTGGACACACATTTAGTTTCACGCGATTAAACAAAAAAAAATGAGTTCCAAGAGACCTATGCGTGCTGTCATGTCCATCTTGCTTGGCTACTTGAATTCACCCGATGCGTAACTTTCCGGGGAGTTTAGTGCCACAGTCAACCAGGAAGTGAACCGTCTCAAGTTTTTGGTGTTAACATGAAACACGAACGCAGGTGACTAGATTCGTGTCTTGTTGCAATAGTGAATTAGTGACCACGATGTACTTCACTTCAAGAGCTGTCCATTCTCCATAAGTCTAGTTTAACTTATAAATGTACGTTTTGTCACATTGGTTAGGTTTAGTTAATTTTGTCGACTCGTGAATTTAGTTAATCTTAGTTTAATTTATCTGAAGCAAGGTGAGGCATTAATCACAAAGGCTTATGAGGAAAGAGAGGTCCGTTTGTGTGTGTGACTCTCAAGATGTTTGCTCCTTGCCCAAGTTTATACAAATTATATTCGGCTTTAAAATATCCTTATGAATTGTAGACCTTTTAAATAAGACGCGTTAATAAATCATGTGTCGTTTGGATCCCTTGGGCCGGGGGGGGCGTTTGTTGACTGCTACATACCTGTGTTTGCTTACATAATGCTGTGGGGGGGATATATTGCGGGTGTATTTGTTAGTAACGGGAGGGGTGGGTGATTCCTTCTTTGTTTTGGTTAAGTCCTGGGTATGTTGCTTGAGTGTTATGTGAGGGAGTGAGGGGTAACTTTTTTGTTTATTCATTCAACTTCTCTGTGGATGACAAACGAAGAGAAGAAGAGTAACATTTATCTAACACAACAAAGGTATTACTGGTATAGCTACTGATCACTCTTACCCCGAGACATGAATTATTGTAAATATTCTGAATAATTTACATGATGTGGATTTGTTGAGTTGACCTGAGGGTAATGAGGTAGGAAGGGTGAGGGAGCCAGGTACAGGTGGACAGACGACCCTCTCCTCCCCCCTCCCCCCTCTGGCTTCACGGCGGTTACTCTAACTTTCCCTCTCTTGGGCCCACTGCCTCACCTGTTTTCTACCTTAATTAACTGCTAATGAGTACTGCCAGTGTGACGCTCACCTTGCTTACCTGGTCACTACACATGGAAGAGTAAACACGTAAACACAACAGTTATTCCTGTGTGTCGTGTTTTAATAATGTTAAATAACGTAAAAGTTGAATGTTTTAGTGAGAGGCTGTTGGTGGTGGCCGCGGGGCAGTACACACACACCTGTTCGTCATCACCACACTGCCTCAGTACCTCCATTATACCGCTTCATTTTCCTGCGCCTCACTACTGATTTAGCTGTGATCAGTATTATAAAAGGTGAACATTACGCCATTATGATCACAGTACAGTAGTAACAGTATTGTAATTGATGTGCACCATAAACCTCTCAGCTGTGTGATAATTACACCTTTATATAACTGGTGTAATGAAGGACGGATCTTGTACACTACAGTAAGTATAGTACCGAGGTCAGGTGATGAACGTGTGTGTGTGTGTGTGTGTGTGTGTGTGTGTGTGTGTGTGTGTGTGTGTGTGTCTCTGTGTGTGTGTGTGTGTGTGTGTGTGTGTGTGTGTGTGTGTGTGTGTGTGTGTGTGTCTGTGTGTGTGTGTGTGTGTGTGTGTGTGTGTGTCTGTGTGTGTGTGTCTGTGTGTGTGTGTGTGTGTGTGTGTGTCTGTGTGTGTGTGTGTGTGTGTGTGTGTGTGTGTGTGTGTGTGTGTCTGTGTGTGTGTGTCTGTGTGTGTGTGTGTGTGTGTGTGTGTGTGTGTCTGTGTGTGTGTGTGTGTGTGTGTGTGTGTGTGTGTGTGTGTGTGTGTGTGTGTGTGTCTGTGTGTGTGTGTGTGTGTGTGTGTGTGTGTGTCTGTGTGTGTGTGTCTGTGTGTGTGTGTGTGTGTGTGTGTGTGTGTGTGTGTGTCTGTGTGTGTGTGTCTGTGTCTGTGTGTGTGTGTGTGTGTGTGTCTGTGTGTGTGTGTGTGTGTGTGTGTCTGTGTGTGTGTGTGTGTGTGTGTGTGTGTCTGTGTCTGTGTGTGTGTGTGTGTCTGTGTGTGTGTGTGTCTGTGTCTGTGTGTGTGTGTGTGTGTGTGTGTGTGTGTCCTGTGTGTGTGTGTGTGTCTGTGTGTGTGTGTGTGTGTGTGTGTCTGTGTGTGTCACCCACTACTGTGGCCTCAATTCACAGCCTGATTCCTCTCATATTAACAAACTACTTTACATTCCTGTGATTACTTCATCTCTCATTGTTTTCACCGTTACTTACTTCAGTATTTCCTACACGAATACTCTGACAACTTTGGTGTGTTGCCGTAAACCACAAGTTGTGTTTTTGTTGAAAAAAATTATATATAATATGACTTACTGTTTTGTGGTGAGTGTGTTGTGTCATCACTGTGTCAAGAATACACTCGCGCACGCACATACATACATACATACATACATACATACATACATACATACATACATACATACATTTGCTTAAATACTTATACATTCATGCATACATACATATAGACACACATACATGCATAAATACATATATTATTATTATTATTATATATACACACACACACACACGTATACATAATACACATACATACATGAAGTTATAAGCGTCTTACTTGAGGTGGTGTACAGTGTTATGGGAGATGATGATGATCGCTGGTGACCGTCCACACTGACGACCGTCTCACTACTGACTCTACCGCTGGTCACTCCACTCCCTCCCTCCTACTGCACTTCACTCGGCTCTTCCCTTCCTCTACTCCTTCCCTCCCTCCTTCTACTGCACTGCACTCCTTCCCTCCCTCTACTCCTTCCCTCCCTCCTTCTACTGCACTGCACTCCTTCCCTCCCTCTTTCTACATCTTCACTACATCTCTCCTAAGTTCCTAACCTAATCTAATCGAATCCCTAACCTAACCAACATATCCAAGGAAATAGAAAGGTGTGTGTGTGTGTGTGTGTGTGTGTGTGTGTGTGTGTGTGTGTGTGTGTGTGTACAGAAGACGAGGTGCCAGTGAGTTGACTTGTTTATAAGAAATATCTTTTAAGTGTTTCTCAGACATTAATTGTTACACGTTTATCTTCACCACAGATTACAGTGCTGGGTGAAAGTAACGTTTGAGTGTGTGGTGGATAGCTAGGTTAGGTTTGGTTAGGTTAGGTTAGGTTTGGTTAGGTTAGGTTGGGTGTGGTTAGGTTTGGTTAGGTTAGGTTGGGTGTGGTTACGTTGGGTGAATGTTCTTTTAAAGTGCACTGTAATGAAGGGTCTTGGGACGTCTAGAACCCCCAATAAATAAATAATTAGATAAATATAAATCAAGCCGGGAAAGTTATTGATTGTAGTGAGTAATAAGAATGATCTGCCGTGAAACTCCTCTGGTGAAAGTGGTAATGTCTGCCCGAGATGATGATGGCTCTTATATAAACAACATCCACGGACCACAAGTCTTACCCGAGAGTTATAACCTAACCTAAACCAACCCAACCTAACCTAACCCTTAACCTTGACCTAACCTAAACCATCCCAACCTAACCAAACCCTTAACCTTGACCTAACCTAAACCAGCCTTCATGACACCTTGCCAGCTGCTAAAGCCAACCCCTTCTAACCCTTAACTTGTGACTAACCTAAGCCAGCAACCTAACCCTTAACCTTGACTGCTTAAACCAGCCTTCTTAAACCGCCCAACACAACACAAACCAGCCTTTAACCTAGCCTTAACCCTAACCTAAACCAACCCAACCTAACCAAACCCTTAACCTTGACCTAACCTAAACCAACCCAACCTAACCTAACCCTTAACCTTGACCTAACCTAAACCAACCCAACCTAACCTAAACCCATCCTAACCTAACCTGTACTTAAAGTGTTGGTGACGGCGACCACATGACCGCTGTATCCGGCACTATTAAAGCGAGGCGGAAATTGTATTGGTGGGGGAGGTCGGGAGGTTGTGTTGTGGAGTATGCTGTGAGGTGTTGTGTTGAGCTGTGGAGTGTTGTGTGTTGTGGAGTATGCTGTGGTGTTGTGTGTTGGGCTGTGGAGTGTTGTGGAGTATGCTGTGAGGTGGGTGTTGAGCTGTGGAGTGTGTGGGTATGCTGTGAGGTGTTGTGTTGAGCTGTGGAGTGTTGTTGTGTTGTGGAGTATGCTGTGGTGTGTTGAGCCGTGGAGTGTTGTTGTGTTTGTGGAGTATGCTGTGGTGTTGTGTTGAACTGTGGAGTGTTGTTGTGTTGTGGAGTATCACTGTGAGGTGTTGTGTTGAAGCTGTGGTGTTGTGTTGTGTATGGTATGTGAGGTGTTGTGTTGTTGAGCTGTGGAGTGTTGTTGTGTTGTGGGTATGCTGGCCAGGTGTTGTGTTGAGCTGTGGAGTGTTGTTGTGTTGTGGAGTATGCTGTGAGGTGTTGTGTTGAGCTGTGGAGTGTTGTGGAGTATGCTGTGAGGTGGAGTGTTGAGCTGTGGAGTGTTGTTGTGTTGTGGAGTATGCTGTGAGGTGTTGTGTTGAGCCGTGGAGTGTTGTTGTGTTGTGGAGTATGCTGTGAGGTGTTGTGTTGAGCTGGCTGAGTGTTGTGTTGTAGGTATGCTGTGGTGTTGTGTTGAGCTGTGGAGTGTTGTTGTGTTGTGGAGTATGCTGTGAGGGTGTTGTGTGTTGAGCCGTGGAGTGTTGTTGTGTTGTGGGTATGCTGTGAGGTGTTGTGTTGAGCTGTGGAGTGTTGTTTGTGTTGTGGGTATGCTGTGAGGGTGTTGTGTTGTTGGGCATGGGTGTTGTTGTGTTGTATGGAGTATGCTGTGAGGTGTTGTGTTGAGCTGTGGAGTGTTGTTGTGTTTGTGGGTATGCTGTGAGGTGTTGTGTTGAGCTGTGTGGAGTGTTGTTTGTGTTGTGGGTATGCTGTGAGGTGTTGTGTTGAGCTGTGGAGTGTTGTTGTGTTGTGGGTATTATGCTGTTCTGTGGGTGTTGTGTTGCATGCTGTTCTATGGAGTGTTGTGTTGAGCCGTGGAGTGTTGTTGTGTTGCATGCTGTTCTATGGAGTGTTGTGTTGAGCCGTGGAGTGTTGTTGTGTTGTGGAGTATGCTGTGAGGTGTTGCGTTGAGCTGTGGAGTGTTGTTGTGTTGTGGAGTATGCTGTTCTATGGAGTGTTGTGTTGAGCCGTGGAGTGTTGTTGTGTTGCATGCTGTTCTATGGAGTGTTGTGTTGAGCCGTGGAGTGTTGTTGTGTTGCATGCTGTTCTATGGAGTGTTGTGTTGAGCCGTGGAGTGTTGTTGTTAATCCTTGGTATAAGAGTTTGGTGGCGTTACAGTAAGGGTTACGTAACAGGTAAGGGTCCCATGTGTTACTGACGTGTGACATGTTACTGTACTTAAGTTATTACGACAGTACTGTACTTAGCGGCTATGTGATGTACAGAGCCTCACTGCACCACGTTATGTTCACTACAGCTGATGTACAGTAATATCTCTCTCTCTCTCTCTCTCTCTCTCTCTCTCTCTCTCCTCTCTCTCTCTCTCTCTCTCTCTCTCTCTCTCTCTCTCTCTCTCTCTCTCTCTCTCTCTCTCTCTCTCTCTCGTCTTCTTAAGACTTGTGTGAGGGACGGACTCATGTGTGGTAGGTGAAAGGTGAGGTGGTAGGAGCGTTACTGTCATGTGGGCTGCGGCTGGTGGTGTTCCTGGGTTCACACAGCAGCTGGCCACGAGAGAAATGAGTGTTGCGGCAGGTAGACACACGGAGATCTCTCATCACCTCCTGTTCTTATAGCTCCCGTCGTGTTTCTTTATTACTGCTGTGTCATATATCGTGTGTGTGCCTGGTGGGTGGGGTGAGGACCTGGTGGGGGTGTGGTGGGGTGAGGACCTACCTGGTGGGGGTGTGGTGGGTGAGGACCTGCCTGGTGGGGGTGTGGTGGGGTGAGGACATACCTGGTGGGGGTGTGTGGTGGGGACCTACTGGTGGGGGTGCTGGTGGGGTGGGGACCTACCTGGGTGCAGGGGGGTGTGGTGGGGTGGTTCCTGGTGCGGGGGTGTGGTGCAGGGGTGAGGACCTACCTGGTGTGGTGGTAGTGGTGGCGGCCTCCAGGAAGATAGTATCCGGGATCTCCAGCGGTAAGGGTGCGGTGAGGGCAAATCTCGTCGACCTCCCGGAAGAGACGAACACCCGCTCGTTGAGGAGTAAGTGAGCGCTGACTGACAGTCCAGGTTGTACCACCAGTCACACACGAAGAACGCCTGGTTGAACATGGTGCCGTTGGGGCAGAGGAAGGATGCCTGCCGCCCGTCCAGATCACAGTAGTGCCACACCTGTAATCGTACACCTGCTCTTAGATCATACACACCTGCAATCATAAACCTGTTTTTTTTTAGATCATACACACCTGTTTTTAATAGGTGATAATACACACCTGCTGTTAGTAGATCATACACACATGCAATCATATACCTGCTCTTAGTTAATCATCATACACGTGCAATCATTCACACACACACCTGCACATACATACAAAACACATTCAATTAGATAACGCTGACATACATTTTACATACATACATACAAGTTGATATGACGTTGAACAAATATTGACTTTCCCGTTTTCGATACAGGTAACACTGCAACACAGAAAACGTGGCTATTTGATGATTTTAGGGCTAACTTCACCAAACTCGTCAAGGCGCTCCGTAATTTTAAGAAAAGTATACTGTAGTGATATATGTGATTTGGAGATACGTCTTATTGACTTCATTCTTTTCGTCAATAGTATTAGGAGCGGGTGTAGCGGTTACCCGTTTAGTAGACTGTCTCAACCAAGAAAGGTAATTTAAGATAATTTGCTCCCGTGACACAGACCCAAGCCCAGAAATAATGTCTCGTGTTGTGGGGACCATGGAAGGGTTAGGTCAAGCCAGGTCACAACATTGAACTCCTACCTCATAACCTTTACGTTATTCATGATAGTTTGACCAGATAGGAATTCCCTGCCCCTCGTACTGTACCTGACACCTGGCCTCTGTGTCGGCGTAGAAGCCTGGCCAGGGCATGTCGGAGCAGTAGAAGTTGGTGTAGGGGACAGTGGAGATGATGGGGTAGTCCAGGCCTGGGACACCGGGTATAGTCTCCACCAGGGCGGTGAGGGAAGCCAGCCGTGGCAGCAAGTAGGAGTACAGCGTCTGGCGCAGCATGGGAGGCAGCAGGATGGATGACGGGTCGACCCCTGCTGACCTGTCGACCAAACACACACACTTATTGAGCCAGAAAAATAGATACAAAGTGAACAATAACAATAGTGACACAGTTGAGCCAAGTGAGAGAGAGAGAGAGAGTTTAATACACTCACGGGTCGTCGCCAGTGCTGAAGGGACCAAATTCACTGCCAGCAGCAGATGTGGGCAGAGTGAGAGGAGCTCCTCCGGCCAGGGCAGCGTTACGTTGTCCAGGTGCCGACGAGCCTGACCCACCGCGCCTGTCGTGGGTTAAACATGTTTATACTACGGCAGGGCCTTGGTTTCATATTATATTGATCACATAAAATAGGTCTAACATTTTGTGGGCACTGATGTCATTTTAGAAGTATATTTTATGAGCAAGAGACAGTGTTGATGGGTTGTACCTCTGTTGTTGTGAGAGGGCGACCAGGGTGAGGAAGTTGACGACGATGGATGGGTCGAAGTGTTGTATGGGTGAGGTGGTGGTGGTGGCTCCTCTGATGCCACCAATCAGACGGGACTCCAACAGCCTCATCAGGTTACCCACGCCGTTGCTGTCCCCTTCCGAGGTTCCTGATGGTGTCCTCCTGAACCCGCCTCCTGCAACACCCGTCAGTCTGGTGCCTACGACGCCCCCAGGCACTCTCGTCAGCCCTGGCCCTCGACTCACCGTGGCCGGGTCCGTCCTCACAGGTGTCAAAGTGCCAACACTTGTCCCCGGCCCCACACCTGGCACCGCAGTAGTGTCACCGGTGACGGTACCCACACTGGCCGGTACACCCCCCACCCCCACACCAGCCGACCCCACAGTAGTGGTGCGGGGAAAGAGAGGGAAGCCCGGGAGGGAGGTGAAGGTGACGGGTATTGGGTGAGCATCTAGGCGTAATATCCCCGACTTTATCCCACTGGGGTCCTCACCTGCCCGACGCTCTGACTTACTCACCATCTCACCAATGAGTACCCGGCCTTCCCTGCCTCCACTACCAGCACCAGAGGACCCCACCTCGCCGTCTGTTGTGTTCGTCGCTCCGGGTGGCGCTGTAGGCGGAGGTGAGAAGGGCGACTCTTGAACTGTACGTGCCAGACGTTCCTTGAAGACGTCGAACTGTTCCCTCATCGACCTGGCTAACTCTCTCTTACTTGTTCCCTCGCCTCGTACACCAGCCTCGCCTTGACCAATGTTCCCGAAGGTGGAATCAGTATTAGATTCAGGAAAAACTCGAGTTGGTATTTGACTCCGTGTAGCAGTTCCTTGACCCCGTGAAGCTGCCCCTTGACCATCGAACTCTGTGGGCAGGACACCATTCCCAAGCACTAAACCCTCCACCACCGGGAACCCTAATTTAAGGCTCTCGAAGTTGTACGCCCCGTGGAGGTCCGTGAGGGAGGTGGCCACGGCGCTGAGTCCCTCCTGATGGGTGTTCAGCTCCCGGCCAGACCACCTCAACTCTCCCTCACTTGTCCCACACAAACCTGAGCCGGAAGGAGTTAATGACTGTTATTAACTTATTATTTACAGGTTTTATAATATTCATATGTTGGAAAAATTAGGATCACCTGTGGATTAACTCTTCTACCTTATTTCACCTGAGAATTAAACACCTTAGCTACCTGGGGGAGGGGGGTTGGGTTAGGTTAAGTGAGGTTAGGTATGTGTTAGGGTGGTTAATCTTCAGGTGATCCCAAAATTATAGTAAAGTTGTTGTAATATTGTTATATGTTAGAGCTACTCCGTGTTTATGACTGGGACGGACAGACATACGGACAGCGGGAGACTTAATCGTATACCCCAGTGAGGTAACATTAAGGTCAGCCATTGTATTCACTGTGAACTGAACTGATAGGATGACATCACTGGCAGATATCAATAGCCATAAATTCATTAGTGTAAAGTGTCGTTAAAGAGCGTTAAATGTCACCGGTCGGAGTAAAAACGTGTGCAGGATGTAGTGAGTTAGGTGTCATTGAGAGAATACCTGTGCTGTGTCTTACCTTGGTGTAGGGGTGAGGTGTGGTGGTACAGTGTGTGTGTGTGTGTGTGTGTGTGTGTGTGGTGGTACAGTGTGTGTGTGTGTGTGTGTGGGGTGGTACAGTGTGTGTGTGTGTGTGTGTGTGTGTGTGTGTGTGTGTGTGTGTGATATCATAATTCATACATTTACCTACATGTTGTGATGCAAATGTATACAGTACGTGTCTTTACTCACACACACACACTCACACACACACACACACACACACCCTTATCAGTAGACCTCGAGTTAAGACGAGGAATAAATAATTGATATAACTTAACCTAACCCACCAGCCAGAGTTTACATACTGTAGGTTCATGAGGTGGAAAAAACTGAGGGAAACTTGTAGCGTCCAGCAGTTATTCACTCGTCTACCTTGACTATACTAACATACACTAGTCAACAGTAGTCAAGAATGTGATGGTTGGCTACTTGGACCCCAGTCTGGCCACATGGACCCCAATCTACATAAAACTATCTTAGATTAGGTCCCAGGCTTGATGAGTACCAAGCCCAACAGGCCCCAACCCTCTTAGGCTAACTGTTAGTATTTGTATATAATTGTAGTAGATCTTAAGCTTACCCAGTCACTAGGTTGGGTTAGCTTAGGTTAGGTTGGGTTGGGTTGGGTTAGCTTAGCTTAGGTTAGGTTAGGTTAGGTTAGGTTAGGTTAGGTTGGAGTCTATTAGAAGTACCTTTACAACTCACAACCTTATACACTTAGGTTAGGTTAGAGTATTAGGATAAGTGCCCTTACAACTCACAACCTTATACACTAAACCTAACCTTGTTTGTGTTTACACCGGCCATACTCCCCCTCACTTCACTCACCACCAGCCAAAGGTCAGAGGAGTGAACCAGGAAGCAAGTATTGGGCTACCTGGCTGATCAAGGTAAATACTCTTAATTAACACCTGCCTCTCTCCTGCAGCGCTAGACACACCCCCTACCTACTGACACACCCCCTACCTACTGACACACCCCCTACCTACTGACACACCCCCTACCTACTGACACCCCTACCTCTGTTACCCCCCCCTACCTGCTGACACACCTACTGACACCCCTACCCACTACTGACCTCCCCTACTGCACCTGCCATCCCTACTTTACCTACTACCCTACCTACTTACTCCCCTACCTACTGACCCCCCTACCCTACTGACACCCACCACACTACCTGCACACCCCCTACCTACTGACTTTTCCTGCCTGCTAAACACCCTCTCTGTACATCCCCTACCTACTGACACCCCCTACCT